GCTCTCACTACAGTGGCAGCTTCTGTCACACTGCAGTCAAAGATACCATCATTACAGCATGTCATCTCTCTCGCTCGCTCTCCCACTACTGTCAAGCCATATATTCACTGGAAATCCTGACAAATAGCATACATTTCACAGACCCGGACGTGGATCAAAATAGTTCAGTCAAAGGCACATCAGTATGACAGTAATGATTTGCAAATGCTTTTTGACCTGTATTCACTTGAAAGGAATACAAAGACAAGATATTTAATGTTTCAAATAATGAAATGTATTGTTTTTTTTTTCAAATATACATATATGCTTATGTAACCCACCCATAAAGTGGCTTTATTTTATTATTATTTCTTATTATTTTATTATTGTCTCTTTTATTTGTACAGGACTTTTAATTTATTTTCCGACATATACTTAGGCCAAATTCTCTCCACATACTGTTTTGCAGTTCCTTAAGATGAACCACAGCGCCCTCTCTGGGTCATATGTGTAACGCAGTTTGGCGTCAGGAGGGTAGAAAGGTCTGGTGGCTGCTCGTAAAGACTCACGTCCAGCATGAAAGTTATGTTCACTGCTTTCTTCAGCAAGCCTACTCATTGTGTCTGAAATCGTATAATTCTTTATATTAGGTAAGAAAACCGAAGTTATTTTTTTGTAAATCTACACTTTATTCTTCATATAAGAAAGTCATTTCGTCAAACTGCCACCGTCCATCGCACAACTGGACTTGCCTTCTGCTCCAGCGTGGTCCCTTACCTCCAAAGGGACCTCAGCTAGCTTACATCTCCACAGTAAGACTGTTCTGTACTGCAAACTGATTCAGGATGCAATTCGAACTAAATACACTTGCTCAACTTTAAACCAAGAAGCTTAAGCTGCAGCAATTTGTTTTTTCTTTTTTTTGAATGGCCATTCATACATCTATTGTTTATATTCGTGTTGCCACAGTTAGTGAGTAATAGTACTGTTTGGTACATTGAGGGTAACGGATTCAGGAGTGAGAAATACTTACCTTGAAAAAAAAAATGGAAAATGGAGGTATGACCTGTTATTATTGATCTCTTAATAATAATAAGTTTACAAAATTCATGCTGTGTGCTATTGTGCAAATTAGGACTTCTCCATCAGTCGTGAAAGAAATACCAGAGCCAAATAAGTTATTTATTGTGTCTTTAATTTAATTTCTTTTGGTGAGTACGAACCCGGGCTGCCTAATTAAATGGTAGTGAGCCTAGACCCTGAAGATTACTTTTCTAATAGCATGCTACCTATGGTTAATTATACTGTGTTACACTAAATTTGATGCATGTAACATGTTCCAAAAAAGCTGGGACAAGGGCATGTTTACCACTGTGTTACTTTGCCTTTCCTTACAACAATGTTCAGTAGTTGCTGCTTGATATAACACTTCAGCTGCTGAACAGTCCAGGGTCTCCATTGTTGTATATTGCTCTTCAGAATACAGCACACATTTTCAATGGGAGACAGATCTGTACTGCAGGCAGGCCATCTACATCTAGCATCTACATTCTCTTATGATGAAGCCATGCTGTTGTAACACGTGCAGAATGTGACTTGACATTGTCTTGCTGAAACAAGCAAGGGACGTCCCTGAAAAAGACGTCATCTAGATGGCAGAATATGTTGCTCCATAATGCATATGTACCTCTCAGCATTAATGTTGCTTTCACAGATGTGAAAGTTACCCACTAACACACCCCATACCATGTCACATGCTAGCTTTTAAACTTTATGTTGGTGAAATCAGGATGGTCCTTTTCCTTTTTGGCCAGGAAAGTATGACATCAATTATTTCCAAAATAATTTGAAAGTTAGACTCATTACACCACAGCACATGTTTCCACTTTCCATCAATCCATCTCAGAGGAGGCTCAGCCCAGAGAAGTCGGTGGCATTTCTGCATGTTGTTGATATACGGCTTTTTTTTTTGCACAGTAGAGTCTTAACTTGCATTTTTAAATGCACCCACAAACTGTGTTTATTGACAAGGGTTTTCAGAAGCCAAGCCCACGTGATAATACTCATTACAGAAGCATACCGGTCTTGAAGGTCACAGACTTTCAATATTGGTATTCAGTGTTGCCCTTTACGCACAGACATTTCTCCAGGATCACTGAATCTTTTAAAAATGTTATGGACTATAATTGGGGAATTCCTTGCAATCGTGTGTTGAGTAATGTTCTCAAACTTGGACTATTCACTCATGCAGTATTTTGCATATAGTTTGTAGCTTTTTATAGATAGTTTTTATAGTTAATTTGTCAAGAAACTTGTCACTGATGTGATATGCCAGTCTTGTGAAGCACCAAAAGCTATAGTCCTATGCAAAGGTTTGGGCACCTCTGGTCAAATGACATCTTTTGAAGGTTTTCTAAGTGAAAAAACATTAACACATCCTCTAACACACTTCTGCACATACTGTTCATTAACTGAATTTGGCGTATTGGAAAAAGAAATCCAATATGCTAACCTCAGCAAATAAATAGAAATTCTACCCTAAAATGTGCAGAAGTGTTTCCCATGTAGAGAAGATGTTAATTTTTTTTTTTCCCTTAAAAAATGAACAAAACACATTGACTGGGATGTTCAAACCTTTGCATATGACTGCACTTGAGTGCTATTAGTACCCCTTTGTGGAGAATCTTCAGCCTGCTAAATGTGAATGAGGAAGTGAATGAGTCAGGTCCATAAGGGGCTTTTCACTCACAAACAAGAAGTACAAAGATAAAATAAACAGTAATGAACAGTAAATTCTTTAACGTCACTAAGGAAACAAAAAATCATGGAAATTTTTAAGTACATTACATTACTGTGCTTTTTCTGTCTTAATAACTTTAAGGTTCAAGTGTTATAAGGTTAAAGTGTTGCCTGAATTATTGAATTCTTGATCAGAAACATAGCCTGTCGCTGTAATTCCTGCACTGTTATCGCCCATAGGTCACTCTGATGGCGTTAGCCTGTTAGTGTCCTTTATTAGTTCTGAGATAAGCATTTTGGGATCAAGCCATACAGGAGTGCAATCTTATCCTTGCTACATTTACATCAGTGGCAAACCATAACATGATCCAACCGAAAGCCTGCAAGAAGCAGATAAATCCTCTGCCTTGTTTCTGGGTTGTTCAGCCTTCTCACTTTTTCAAGTCTCCCAAAGGTGGGGTCAGTATGAGCTTTGGACATATCCAGAAGGACTGGACGTGACTTTGTGTGGCCCACGCTCCACTGCCCACAGCCTTTCTGTATACCTGCATTGTACTGGACTTGCCCTCTGTGACCCTCGCTTGCCAAAGCGCCCCGGCCCACTCCGATAAGCCCGTGAAACGTGATCACATGGGCTGAGAGGGACTCGGACTGCCGCCCACAGCTTATGTGTGGCCCACAGACCTCCGCAGCATCAGAGGAGGAAAGATTATCCCAAGGAACGAATGGTTCTGCCAATCCTTTACCTGTGGGGCTGCCAGCCAGACCATGAGAGAGCATAACATGCTGTGCGTGCAGGTTATTTTTCTTCTGCCAAAGGGCAAAAGGTCATATTGAGTCACTGAAACAAGGAACAAACACAGCATTCAGAAACAACCGCACACTAATTTTAGTCCTCAACTAGTTAGCTAGCAATTATAGCTTAGACACTGCAGTGAACTCAGCCACAGTCTGGATTGGTTGGCACCACAGGGATTTCCAATGGTTGAATTATGTTTTTTGTGTAATGCATGCTGGGTATTGTAGGGAGAACACATTAATGGATGATATAAAACCATCAAAAGCCAGTTGAGGTGGTACAGGCATCTGATCAGGATGCCCCTGGCTGCCTATCGGTGAAGGTTTACCAGGCACAGTCTACTGGGATGAAACCCTGGGGTCATCCTAGGACCTACTGGAGGGATTGTATCTCCAAGTTGGCCTGGGAGTGGCTCAGGGTCCCCTGGAATGGGCCTGAGGAAGTTGTAGGGAACAGGGTCGTCTGGAATTCTCTGCTCTCCCAACTGCTACCACGACCCTAGTCTGGATTAAGCGGTTTAAGATGATGTTGATGATGATAAAACCATTAATATTGTCAAATGAACGAAGCTGAGAGATACAACGCTGCTCTATAGTGTTCTGCATTGCATGAAGAATACAATTAAACTAGTTTTTAAACTAGTTTTATGGCAAAGTGACTATCCCCCCAAAATGATGTAGTTATTAGCATGCAACAGCCTTCAGCCACAGCAGTACTGAAGGCTGACACTTCATGTGTTGTCACCGGGGAGTGTGTTATATAAAGCTCAGATTAATGAAGCCTGGTGCCTCTCAGACACACACACACACTGATTCTGCAGTGTGGCACCAGAAAGGCCATCTGCCGCTGAACACCTCCCCAGGAAATTTCTAGAAAAGCCTCTCTCCCTCTTTAGCTCTCCCAAGCAAACTGGTCTGAGCGATAATACATCCATAAGTAACCAAGTCCAGTAATGTTCTACAACAGGGCCTTGTATTCAAACAGCAATAAGCTGAGATCATTCCAACATCTCAGAGAGCAAAAGTTAATTGCGGCGATACAAAAGCAGCTCCGACGCACTGAACGAGTGCGTAATTAATGCTGAGCTGCTAAATTGTGAAAAATAGACTGCGCATGAAAACACACGGTTAAATGGTAATTACATATATGGCTTTGTGTCTATGTGCCGCTTCGCAAGTGCGTGTCAACTTTCTCAAGGTCATTTGAACATGTGCCCGTAAATGCTTAATTAACCCGTAATCAAAATCACTAATGTTCATTAGCTGTGTCAGCACGCTGAAACCAATCCATTACGAGCCCTGTATTAGATGCCATTATCATTTATAATACATTACCGTATGTTCAGGAAAGCACATATGCTTGAGCGTCCTGGGAATTAGATATGCTCGCGAGTGCTGTAGATGCTTCATTAACCCATTCTCACTGCTGTTATCCTTAACATTGTGTCATACAAAACAGTACACAAGACCACATTTTTGTTGGGGGGTTTTTTATTGATAATAGGAGATTGTTCTACAAATAGCGACACAAGACTATTTACATGAAACATTGTTCAAGTCGGTATAGTGTTATCCTGGAGACAAGCCAGGAAACAGCACCATACGAGCACCTATGTTGAGTTCCATCCACGTAGAAGCAAAAACGGGCCGACATGGAGAACATTTTCCAGAGAAGTTGTTGAGTATTTTAATCGTTTTCAATAAAAAAAAGACTAGCGGTGTGTTCTAGTAGATATATTCAAGTTAAGAATTCTCTTAAACAAGCCAAGGTCAGTCAACTGCTCCTGCCATACTTTCACATCAGAGGCTCAAATGGTGTATAGCCATTCAAACTGGCAATTATCTTCAATTCTAAATTTTTCAAGATAGTAAATATCAAGCATTCATTACAAATTAGGCCGGATGCCATAATCACTTAAATAAACCCTAGTTTATTTAAAGTCTAGACTTTTGTTTAACACCTTCTATAACATAGTTCAGTGCTGGAGACCCATTGCCTAGCACAGTTTAGTGTTTGCCACATTCTAACACGCCTAATTAAATGTATCAGCTACTAGGCCGAATGAGGTGTAGGAAGCCCTTTTGGTGCTGGATTAGTTTTATTAGAGATTTTTTACAGGTATCCCAGGTTAAAAGGTCATAAAGTGTTTTAAAAGGCGTTCTGCAAGGAAGTTTGGTGGCAAGAACTTTGGAATCGACAGGCTGGTATCTGATTCGGACCAATGGCTCCCATTGCTTCCAATCAGATTCCACTCTGAAGATGATCAAGAGTCCAACTTATTCGAATGCATGGAGTATCTGTCCCTCAAACAAGCCTCTGTAACTAGTTAGCTTTAGCTAGTATATATACTTTGACTGCTTTGAATAGAATGAATTGGAAGGTATCCTTTTAGAGATATGTTGGATTCACTGAATGAAAAAATCTAGCAAATTTGTTTATGGTTACTGATTTCCAAACAAGATGTACTTGTGGATTTCCTTTTAAATTCCAAATAATTGTATTAAATTGCAAAAAAAAACAGATAAGTTTCAAGAAGGAGGGCTAAATCCAATGCAAATCACTATATTAGGTGATATTATATCATCTGAAAGGCGATATAACCTGGATTTTGATGCTAACATCAGCATTAAGCAGTTGACGCCACACTCAATGACAATAACAACACGGAAGACATGGCAGAAAAAATGGCTCTGCTACAGGGGCTGATGAGGGGGCCAATTAGAGAAGCCCATTCACTCTGCAATTATTACTGTCTGAATGTAACAACTACACACATTGCAGATTAATACTAGATTAAAATCTTAGGTAATCACTGAAATGAGAGTGTTCCCCCCAGGTAAAACTAATCCAGCTCCAATAAGGCTTTAGATCTTTTTCAGTGGATGGCAGTGGGCCCCCAGGACCAGAGTCGAGAACCACTGGTTCAGCAGGCCACCATTAGCATTAGCCGAAGATATTGAATTGCATGGATTTGAAGCACATGTAACACAGTATTGGCTCAAAAGAATGAATCCCTTCATGATGTGGTGGCTGCTCCCCCTCCCTGGAAATCATGGCCTGCTGGCGTGGACCTTCTTCCATCATGAAATAGCAGATCAAGTGGCCTAGATCGGCAACAGTATAGCTAATGTGCTGCATTTAGTCGCTAGCAGAAGAGAGAAGAAAGGAGGGAGGCTATGAAGCATGGGAGCTAACTGGCCTTTGGCCTAGGTACAGCCTGCGGCACTCTTTAAGCAGGGCGGAGGGGTCGGTGTAAGAGAGAGGAAGAATACGGGAGATATGGGAGGTGGGAGAGAATGAGAGTGCGGAGGTGTGCAGGCTTTCGATCACATCAGCACAAACCTGTGAATGAGAGGAGAAGGTCAGTGCAGCGTGCTATTTAATGAAGCATCTTACAGTAGCTTAGCTTAACGTATGGGCAAATAATGGCACGCTTGAGTAAAGACCTTGCAAAGTACACAATGCATCACAAAGCATTTTTCAAAGGGTGGAGAAAAGCTTCAGCTTCAGTCTGCTTGCCAAACCATTGCAGTCAAAAAGCCAGGAATGTTGTAAATATAGTCAAGTGCAAGTACCGAGTGGGATGAGCACATAGCATTTAGATATTCAAGATGTTCCAACCTATTTCATCATGTTATTCATTCTTACAGCTGGTGCGGCATTCTGAAGCGAACTATGATCTTCAGTTGGAAGCACTGCAGGGAAGATTTCTTGTATTCCTTTCTGCATTGGCTAAAGCATCTGCTGATGATTTGCTGGAGTGTAATAGTTTCCTAGAGTTGTGTTGTTCAACCTTGTCAAACATCTAAAAGCACAGGCTCCCAACTCCGGACCTGGAATCAGGCCTGTCATTGTAGGCCCAGTTAGGTTGTTATGTCTTGTCCATGGGTTACTAGGCCTGGTTGGCATAAAGTCAGCATATAAATGTTAAATAGACTGTAATTTGTAAAAATAACTGGAACATATTATAAATATACTGTTAAAGGGACTAATACACTTAATTGCATTTACTTGCATAACTCAAGTAGTAGCACTGAAGCTAGAAACCAAATTAGATTTTCAGTATCATTAAATAAAATACATTGAATGTATACATGTATTTATAGAAAAATAGACTTAGTGTTTTCTATACACTATTCATGTACTTTGAAATGCTTCTTTTTGACAAGGGTAGTTGGATCAGGTGTTTTGGGAGCAAGAAAGATGCTTAAATGTGCAGAAAAGGGGGTTCTCCAGGACCAGGCCTGGGAACCACTGATCCAAAGTGTGGGGATGTTTCTCTACCACCAGTATTCAAATTGACTGAAGGTTGTTAGTATTGCTATACCTTCATAATCAAATTCAAATCAAATTGGTGGTGTTGGTGGGCTCAAACATTAGCTTCACACTCAAACATCTGAAGCATGATGGTCTACTCCATTCTACTCTTTTGTACTCAAACTACTAAAGCATGGTAGTGTAACTTTACCTTCGCATTCAAATGCCTGAAGCATAGTGTTGTAGCTGGGTCCCAGCCAGGATGGGTAGGTGCCCATGACCCTCAGCAGCTTCTGAGTGGAGTCACTGAACATCACATCTGGCTGACCGTACCCCGCCGAACTGAAGAGGGAGAAACCCTGCGTAGCGTTGGCAAACGCATTCTGGAAGAAATGCAGCAAATAAAGATTGGTTCACACTGAGATGGATGTCATTCAGTCATTTGCAGTGTAAATGGTGGTCTCCAACCCTGGTCCTGAAGAGCTACCTTCCTGCAGAGCCTAGTTCCAACCACAGTTTGCCACACCTGCTCCAGCTAATCAACATCTTCTAAGACCCTGATTGGCTGGATCAGATGTATTAGAGTTAAGTAAGGGGCAGAGAAGCTTATTGGGTACAAGTTGGAACTAAACGCTGGAGGGACGGTAGCTCTCCAGGACCAGGGTTGGAGACCACTGTGCTAAGGACAAAAAGCTAAGCTAACTGTGCACCATAGCTTATAGATGATAGAGAGATGATGTAAGGAGCTATGATATAAGCCTTAGAGGTGAGAAAACAGTGAGGGGATGCTCATACAAACACCCCCACACATCTGAACGTGTTTGATACACATCTTCTGTTGTATCTTTGAGTGCAATGTCATTGCGCTGGGCCTTAGAGTAATTTTGCTGTTTATTCAACTTATATAACTATTTAAATGCAATTACACAGTTAGACACATAATACGTTTGAGTCTTCACTTGGCAAAGATGTAAAGTAGGGATCTCAAATTACCAACAGCTTCATAAGGCTTGTCACATACTTACAATTTATTGTTAAATCCACTGCAGCTGGTTACCCAACATAAACTGTGTAAAATTAGCTGTGGCTGATGTTTGCGACGTTAAAAGCAAAAATAGAGCACTACATGCAAGAGGATCGATTCAAACAAAAAGATGAACATGAACGCTGCACAATAAGCAAGAATGGCAGGAATTTAACCACAACTAACTTAATTGTTATTCTAATTTAGACTGATAGTTAAATCCACCTTCATGGATTCATTCATGACACGGTAGATGTAGCAAGTCAGAATTAAGAAATGAATGTAATTACCAAACGATCCAATGAGAACCCAGAATTAAGGCCTAGTGACACAGACGAAAAAAAACAGACGTTTTGTTTAGAAAATGAACATATCGTCGCTATCCAATGAAAAACAAGTCAACAAATCTCCAAGATAGTAACTTTACAGGAGAAGGCAAAAACACTCTTACCTTTCAATGTAAGTCAAGGTAAAGAGATTTTGTTCCAAGTGATTTTAGAGCGTTTCTATTGATCCATGCATCATGAAATGTGTTGGTGTGTTGAAATGATGTAGAAAATTAAAAATTGGCAAAAATGGAGATGCATGGTTTCTCTGGACAGTGACGATATGTAGATTAATACCATCTTTCAGAGTCTGAAACTGACGCACTGTGCCGCTGCATCATTCTTAAATCAGAGAATGCACAATTTCCTGCATTGTACGAAGAATCAGAGCTCTGTTGTCATGGTTGCAGCCCAAACAAATGTGCATCAAGAGGGCGGGCAGAACAGCTCATGTTGCTTGTATCAGAGCACAAAAGCTTATCAGAAAAGCAGCATGTTGACTATAAAATGTGGAGGGTAAAGAAAATATATGGAGGACTACAGCTGAAAATGAATGTTCTATTTATTAGTTTGTCCTTGTGGCTTTGGCTATGTGGGCAAAATGAAAAGACAATCAAAAACGAGAATCTGTGAATATAGATGTGCAATTGGAAGATCTCCAGTAGCTAGACACTTAGTAAGGTGGGCCATGATGCCAATTCCTTGCATTTCATGAGTTTGGAAGTGGTGAATCAGTTACTGAGAGGTGGAGATCAGGAGAGACACTTTATGTAGAGAGAGGTCTGGTACGTTTTCTCTCTGAATAAAGTGACGCCATATGGCATGAATGAAGAGTTCTCATTGACGTGTTTTTTATAGTTTGATTGAGCATTTTATGTACATTATTATTGAGTAATAATTGACTTTTTGGTTTAAAATGATTTATTTTTTTAATTTATTTTGGAATTGGTCAAAGATAGGTCTTGTTGGTACTTGTGTGTCACGCCTCCCCTGAAACTACAGCCAACTGGGGCCTCCCAGGACTCCAATTCCCAGAACTCCTTGCTGCATCACATGACTATGGACTCTCACCAATCCACCTATCAGCACTCCTCATCTCCAGACTACTGATGGGGAGTGATGTTGGGTACGTTACGGTGAGCTTTCAGCCGCTGTTTAATTAATGTAGGTGTGTCCTAGACCATTCATGCCCGATGAAGAACCACAAACGTAGCTTCCCTTGCTAAGGAATGCTCATGTCCTTAATTTTTTTTGGAGGTGATATTCAAAAAAAAAAAACCAAAACAAATTGTCCACGACACATTTATCAAATCACTTCAGATCTTTAAAAATCAACAGTTATGTGTTCAGTGTCGAGTCGATGTGGACAAATCACTGATGATGTAAAACCACAGGAGAAGGGAAATATTTTGCGCAAGCGACTTTGATATAGGATTTCAGCTGCTCAACAGTTCAGGGTCTCCTTTGTCGTATTTTTCATTTCATAATGCGCAAAATGTTTTCGATAATGACAGTTCTGGACTGCAAGCAGGTCAGTTTAGCACCTGGACTCTTTGAGTACAGAGCAGTGCTGTTGTAATACATGCAGAATGTGGTTTGGCATTGTCTTGCTGACATAAAACCTTCCCTGAAAAAGACATCATCTGGATGGCAGCGTAAGCCAAAACATAAACATCATTCAGCATTAATGGTGCCTTCACAGATGTGCAGAAGTGTATCAGAAGTGTTTCCTGAGCCCATGCAGTGATTTCCTCTACAGAATCTTTTGTATGTCTTTTTTTAATGCAGTGCCGCCTGAGGGCCCAGAGATAACGGCCAGCAAATACTGGTTTTTGGCCTTGTGCCCTGCATACAGAGATTTTTCCACATTCTCTGAATCTTTTAATGTTATTATGTACCGTAGTTGAAGAAAAGTTTTTGTTTTTTATGGTGAGAAACGTTATTCTTGAATTGTTGCACTATTTGCTCGTGCAGTCTTTCACAGAGTAGTGAATCCCTCCTCATCTTTACTTCTGAAAGACTCCGCCTCTCTGAGATGCTCTTTTTATACCCAATCATGTTACTGACCTGTTGCTAATCAACCACCAGGTGTTTTTTAGCATTACACAACTTTACCAGCCTTTTGTTGCCCCATCCCAACTTTTTTTGGAACGTGTTGTTGGCATCAAATTCAAAATGGGCATATATATTTTAAAAAACAATAAAATTTCTCAGTTTCAACATTTGATATGTTGTGTTTGTACTGTTTTCAATGAAATATAGGGATTTGCACATCATTGCATTTTGTTTTCATTTACATTTTGCACAGCATTCCAACTTTTTTGGAAATGGGGTTGTAGTTTTTAGGAAACTAGAGATATGGACACTGAAATCACCAGGCTCCTCACCTGTTGCCTTTTTCTGAGGTGTCCGTGTTGTTGGTGTCATAGTCATGTGAACAGCGACATCAAGCTTAAAGTGTAATCGCTGAGCAGTAAAGACAAGTCAACAAGTCGACTACTCTGTACAACCCTAAGTGCATCATTAACTTGCAGTGTTTAAAAAAATCATTATTGCTGCTGGTCAAGAAATCCAGTTCTTCTTCCTCACTTTTTTTCTCTCCATTGTTTAACCAACCCCCCCCCTTTGGAGAAGGCTGAATGGCTAGTGGTCCCAGGATAATTTTCAGTTTGAGACCCCTGACATAAAGGATAACTATACACAGTAATTTTCCATCAAATTCAGATCATAATAAAATATCTATTCTTCCACTTCCAAACACAAATGTGGTATTGATCACAAGTTTGGAATTAGGCCATGTTTTTACTATCACTGTTGATAACTGCAATTTCAAAGCATCATGAGAGACTGTATCAAGAAAAAAAAACATGAAAGGACAACACGATGTGTGCACTACTCCTAGAAAGGTTAACGTTGACTATAGCAGAGTGAGTTTAACTGTTCTCTTGCTCTCCTGCCGTTTGCCACTGTGAGTGACCTCTCCTATTCCAAAGGGCATGACATCGAACTGATATTAGCAGACCGAGACATTTCATTACAGTTAAATAGTGTACATATCAGTGTAAATGTATGTTAGAGTGTGTGTGTGTGTGTGTGTGTGTGTGTGTGTGTGTGTGTGTGTGTGTGTGAGAGTGTGTGCTCATTCCAGCAGGTCACTTAGTGTATCTGCCAGCTGGCATACAGTGTCCAGCGCTGCTCGTGTCTTGGCTGACCTGCACACGTTCCAGGAACTTGTAAACGCGGCACTTATCCTCCAGGCGCACCACCACAGCGTTGGCGGGCACCACAGCCAGGTGGCAGTGCTTGTGCTGGAAGGGCGAGGCCTCGCCTCCGTCCGGGCAAAGCAGCTTCAGGTCCTCCAGTTCCAGGTCCAGAGCCCACGACTCCTGATTTTTACCTTACAGTTACAGCAGTGTTATAGTTAGCAAACTGCACAGTGTATATGGACCATTCTACCAAATGAGTTCAAACTGCAGTCCCACAGTAAAACAACGCTATTTAAAAAAGTATCCAGACCCAAGATATGTATAAAGATCATTTATGATCTGTTTAAACCAAAGGCATTAATTCGGATGGTAATAAGCTAAATACATACAAAACCATCACTTTTAGGGTACTTTCTATTTGGAGGTAGCTGTCCCAAACCCTAACCCCTAAATATTTACCCTTATGAAAATAATACTTATTTTTTCCGTTTATTTCCATGTTGCTTTTTTTTAGATCCTTTTAAATTTCTTTTAAAGTGAAGATGAAAGATTTATATTTATTGTAAGTTTAATTTTTACATAACAAAATTTTATAAACAAAAAATGATCTCCCACACTTTCATGTCACCAGTGAAACACAAAGAGTTTTACGTCTGTAGGCGGAGACTTATTTGTAGCCACCGCCCTGCATTTTAGAGCAGGAAGTGAGACTGCGTCCCTGCCCCTCATGGCCACATGGTGAGCAGTTAGATTGTGTTGAAGTAAAAATGTCACAAAGTCTGAAAATCAGTGTGGAACATTAAGAATTGTCACTACTGAAACACATTTTCTGCAATTAAGTAAACTTTTTTGTGTTTTCATGAAAAAATATCAGATTTTATGTGTGTACTGTGTTTGCTAGTCATGTACTGGTTAGCGTTTTTGAGTTCCTGTCAAAATGAGCTAAAATTGTCACTACCGAAAACAGTCACTACTAAAACATTTGGTAAAGTTTTGGTAGTGTTATGATTGTTTTATTAGTGAGAAAAATGGAATGGAATCATTTGTTTTAATAAAATGAACATGATTAAGGAGTAGAGTCACTGAAAGCAAAAGGATTTCAGTCTAAAGTCCAAGTCAGTTAAAAATCTGAAATGTGTTTTGAACTCTGACTTTGAACCAATTTGGCAGAATGATTTTTATCTGCTGTCTAACCTTTTACTTTACAGTGAAGGTTACCTTTTGCAATTACGTCTCATATTAATAACTGTTATTATATTATATTATTCAGTAGTAAATTTCACAATGAAAATCTAATTATAAAATAGGGCTGAACAATCAGGAAAATATCTCATTGCAATATTTCTGTTGTGATTTAAATTGTGGTCATTTTCTACAAATTAAGGTCCAGGCTTGTTGTTTTGGCCAAGAATTTCCACCAGCATATCCACTTTTTCTAGTTTAAGGCTTAAACATAAGGTAGTGTGCCAGTCTACCAGTTAGTCACCAGTTAGTGGTTGTAATGTCACAGCACAGAGTGTTTGGTTGCTTCTGATCTCACCAGCTCAGTGTTATTAGGTTCACAACTTAAGACAGTGACAGTTGACAGTGTTCTTGGAAATATAGGCTATAATTCTAGCCTATACTTCTTGCGATTTGAAAATAGCACTATTTCAATATACAATTTTGACGTAAAAACGATTAATCTAGCATTCCTATTATAAACCCGAATACATTTGACATTTTTCTTTCAATATTCCAATATGTTGGTTTTTTTTTGGTAACAAGAAAGAGAATGATAAAAAACATACTGCTATTTTCTAGTAATGTCATATCCAGTTATCAGCCTGAGATTTGATCACCACTTATTGTTTATTATAACTTCATTCTCAAGGTTATACACCTTTGTCCATTAATATAGAATTATCTACTGCTTTGATCGTCATTCTGGACAAACCCGAAAATTTCATTTTGTTTATATACTCATTGATTATTTTATTGTCATCACCTTAGCATTGATTACACTTTTTTTCCTAAAGAAAATTAACTATCAACTGTGGTGGGCAGCTGGCCCCCAAGCAGCATGTTGTTTAGGGCCCCAAAATGTTCAGAAATGACCTTACTGTTGTGCATGGATTTTATATCTGCAACGAAAATGGTTTAATATTGTTAAAATCATTGCTTTCAAATGTATAAATGATGATTCCAAAATTTTCAACAATGATGACATGTTGGGCCTGATCTGAGATCAACACTTACACTTTAAAATGCCTGAATAATAGTCGCCACTACAGAGCTTCACATTCACAAATGTGCATATAAACACAGGGAATAACTAACCATATGATAACAGCAAAACCTGACACACTTTCTCATATATACACTATATGGAAAAGTTCAGGTGTTTCAGCCACATTTACAGCTGTAAAACATTAAGCACACAGTCATGGAATTGAGCAGTAGAATGGGTCGTACTGAAGAGCTCTTTAAACGTGGCACTCCGTCATAGGACGCCACCTTTGCCACAAGTCAGTTACATACAATTTTTGCCATGCTAGATCTGCCCCAGACAACTGTAAGTGAAGTGCTGTGAAATGGAAGCACAACAGCTCAACCCTATGAAGCAGTAGACCAACTGAAGTACGTAGTGCTTAAAAATGACCTATTCTTTGTTTCATTACTCACTGCAAAGTTACAAACTGCCTCTGGAAGCAACATCAGCACAAGAACTGTACATCTGGAGTTTCATCAAATCGGGCTTGCATGGCTGAGAAGCTGCACACAAGCCTAAGAACACTATGTGCAATGCCAAGCGTCGTCTGGAGTGGTGTAAAGCACCCCATCACTGGACTCTGAAGCAGTGGAAATAGGTTCTCTGAAGTGATGAATCACGCTTCATTATCTAGCAGTCTGATGGATAAATCTGGGTTCGGTGGATGCCAGAAAAGCACTACATACCCAGAATGCATAATACCAACAGTAAAGTGTGGTGGAGGAGGGATAATGGGCTGGGGCTGTTTTTCAGGCCCCTTAGTTCCAGTGAAGGGTGATGTTAATGCTACAGCATACAAAGACATTTTAGACAATAATATGCTTCCAACTTCCAACCTCAACCCAAAACCTTTGGGATGAATTGGAACATCATTTGCAAGCCAGCCTTTCTCGTCGAAACATCAGTGCCTGACCTCACAAATGCTCTTTTGACTGAATGGACAAAAGATTCCCACAGACACACTTCAACATCTTGGAAAGCCTTCCCAGAAGAGTGAAGGCTGTTATAGCCACAACGGAGAGGGGGCAAAGCCATATTAATCCCCATGGAGCTGGTATAGGATGTCCGACAAGCTCATATAGGTGTGATGGTCAGGTGTCCACATACTTTTGGCCACATAGTGTATATATTAATACGTTCTTAATTATAATGTGATTGGAAGTATTTAACAACATCCTTATTTAAACATCTCCAGCCTACTGTATATGGAGGGTCTACCTGAATTCCCAAGCAACAAAAACTCAGTTCTGATGCTTGATGGGCAGACATGATTTACTGTGTCTCATCAGCTCTCTCTCTATCGAGCATGAATAGCTGCACTGTTGTGAAATACTGCCCCCTGGTGTCCAACAGTAGGTGAAAGTAATAGGAGATGGTTTGTGGTGCTTTTCGAGGTGGTTGGCAGTGATTGTACTGGCTGAAATCTTAGGGATTATAATCATGCGGCCTCACTGTAGCTTTCAGATATTCACTTTCTTAAGACGCAAACATGAAACCTCCAAGGTTCTCATGCAGCTGCTCCTCTCTCAACCCCCTTAGTTGAAACGAGAAAGATCAAATGTGGGCTTACCGTTCATGTTGTCAAAGACTGTGGTGTGCTTTACGAAGGCCACATCTCCAAGGTTCTCTGCCACACATCTGCAGAACACAGCACAGTTTAAGCACAGTGGGGTTAGAACCCCTAGAACAGGCTCAAAGGTTTTTCTTTGGTGTATATCCACAATACTGCGCAAAAGTCAAAGAGCACCCATTCATTCCCACTCATTTTTAAAAAAGATTGTTCTTCAAGGGTTCTTCAGTGAAGAAAATGGTTCTATATAGAACAATGAGCGCTTTAATGAACGATTTGCATGATTTAGGATTCTTTGCATTGTGAAAGTTCTTCAGATTGATTGAAAATGTGCTGTAGATGGTCCTATATTAAACCTTTTTGAAAAGGGTTCTATATAGTACCAAAAAAGGTTCTGCTATTGTTATGATGTCAAGCTTGTAACAGTAGAAGAACCCTTTTTTGGTGCAAAGAACGTTTAATCATGCAAAGGTGTTTAAGTGTTCATGATTATGCATAGAACTGTTTTCTTTACACTCTTAAAAAAGAAGATTCATCAAAGGTTCCTTAGTAAAAAATATGCTCCTTTATAGAACCATGAACACTCAAAGAACCCTTTGATGGAAAATGTGCATGAATGTGCTGTAGATGGTTCTATATAGAGCCTTTTGGAAAAGGGTTCTGTATAGCACCCTAAAGAACTCTTTTTGGGTGCTATGTAGAACTCTTTTTCAATATAGAACCATCTACAGCACATTGTCTATCAACCTGAAGAACCTTTTCATGATGCAAAGAACCCTTTCATTATGCAAAGGGTTCTGTGAGTGTCCATGGTTCTATATAGAACCATTTTCTTTACTGCAGAACCCTTGAAGAACCATCTTTTTAAAGTGTTTTAAGTATATAGCCTCAATAACAAACACTTGCTTTTTTTAAAGTTTTTCAAAGAAATCTGCAGCGATATTTTCCCAAACCTCCCAAGTTCAGTCCAAGAAGCTGGTTGTACTTTTTCTCATGTTCCAAGCAATCCCAAATTTAGAGTCATCAGACGTTCCGTGTAACGTTCTTGTGCAAATCTCCTTCTTGACAGCTACACGCCCTGTCAGACCCATAGTGCTGAGTCGTCCTCTCAAAGTGGAAGGATGGACAGAAACACCTGTGGATTTTTCAGATCTGAAGCAGCTTGATTTTCTCTTCTATCTCAGAGGTAAAAATTTCAAATGCTGTTTGTCTGATGGGGACAGTTTTGGTGTCCACCAGGTCTTCCAGGTGGTTGTTAGTAGTCACATTTTCTCAAAAGCTTTTAATAAGTTTTTTACTCCAGTTTTTGGAGACTTTTAATTTTCCTTTCACTTCTTTTAGCACACAAATATCTCCATAATGTTGAAATGTCCCATCATCCTGGGAACATTTGGTCCCTACAAAGAGCTAAATACACATACACACTGTACCTGAGGGCCCCTGCCTCTCCGTAGTGGCGTTCTCGAGGATTGTTGGCACAGATGTGTCGGTCATTCTCGTCCCCTATGCAGGCTTCACACAGGTTTCTGGGATTGGTGCCTTTGGGGTCGTGCTCTGGGTCCTTTGCTCCTGGGACACAGCTATAACCAAAGAAATCCCCCACCGCTGTGGACCACCAGGAACAAGAAATAGAGTTGAAGTTGCAGATGAAGCGTGTGATCACATCCTCCATTGGCATTGAACATATGCACACACATGTACACTGACCAGCTTCTTTATTAGAAACCTTTACCCTGTAGCTTCACTTTGCTGGCGTTAGTGAGACTGTAGCTCATCTGTCGATGCAAAGTTTGTGTTACCATCTTCTTGCCCTCCAGCGGTTAGTTTCTGACCACAGAGCCTTTCTTGGATGGTTATTTTTGGATGGCGGACCACTCTCAACCTAGCAGTGAAACTGGCTGGACAACAGTGGTCCTGTGGTCAGAAACTGACCAATGATAAATGAGGGAGAGGACAGCTATGCCTGAACAGATGGGCTACAGTCTTTAATTGTGCACTTATATAGTGAACCTATAAGGTAAGTTGAGCTCATAAAGTTGATAGGGAGTGGAAAAACAATGTAGGGTCATCATCATCATCATCATCATCATCATCATCACACATTCCTCATTGCATGGTCCCATCTTTGAGCTTTTAGCACTATAAATTGTGTTAGTCTTTGTTTGCTTTTCAAGACATCGATGTGTTGGAGTTTAAGCCTAACTACTGATTTTACTGTGGAGGTCTCTTACCATGGGGGAAATTGCACTGTTCGTTCACGCTGATCTGCGATGTGTTGACCAGGAAGCCAATGGGCACAGTCCAGCCCACAGTGGTCCGGATCCCAGGGTGACATGAACTCCGCTCATGCATCTCCAGCAGCGACAGGTCACCGGATGATCTTCGGGCCAAGGCCACTACGTAGTAATTAATGCCATCTAAAGAAAGGATTGCAGACCCTTAACCCTTAATTTGGCAAATTAGTTCAATTTTCAAAATTAATTATTTGGAAAAGCAGTTTTATCTATACAAAATTAAATTGTCTTTTTAAGTTTTTTGCTTTTACTGGAAATTAATGGAATGACCTTAAAATTTATTTAAATGCTGAAATTGCCCTAAACCTTAAGATCAACCCAAGTGCTGAAACGGACCCAGACCATACTAATTTATCCAATGTTAAACTGGCCAAATCTTAACATTTATCCAAACTTTAAATTGTCTGAAACCTTAAAACTGACCAAAATGTTAAACTGGCCCAAACCTTAAAAATAACCCAAATGCTGAAATTGGCCCAAACCATGAAATTCACCCACATGCTGAATAGATCAAAATGTTAAATTAGTCCAAACCTTAAAAATAACCCAAATGCTGAAATTGGCCCAAACTACAAAATTGACCCAAATGCTGAATAGATCAACATGTTAAATTGGTCCACACCTAAAACTGTCCCAGATGCTGAAATTGGCTCAAAACTTAAAATGGGCCAAAATGTTAAATTGGTCACAACCTTAAACTGAACCAAATGCTGAAACTGACCAAAATGTTAAAATAACAACCCAAACCTTACAGTTAATCTAAATTCAGAAATTGGCCCAAACAAGAAAATCTGGACCAAAAAATCCAGATTGACCCAAATGCTGAAATTGACTGAATTGCTAAAATAGCCCCAAACCTTCAATTGGCCCAAACCTGAGGACTGTCCCAAAAACTGAAATTGGCCTGAAACATAACATCAACCCAAACTTAAAACTGGCATAAATCATAAAATTGGCCGAAACCCTTGATACTGGCCAAAACTTTAAAACTGGTCTAATCCTCAAAAAACTGATATTATGGTCGTTGAGGTAACTTTTAGACCGCATTGTAAATATGAGGCACTTTTACTTTTTGAGAGAACGTCTCTTTGTCTGTGCACTTACCCACTCCATTGTAAGACTCTCCTACTGCAACGTCCAACCCATAGCAAACTCCAGCAGTATAGATCTCATCAGGGTACATAGAGGCTGCATCAGCTGTGCCATTCTGGTGAAAGAAGAGAGCACGGTCATGACTATTATCCTAATACAGAGTTGAGTAACATCTCACCATCTCCTTCAAGCTCCACTTCACTTCTGTCTTTGAAAACCTAACAGTGGATGAGTGATGTGAACATTATATCCTGGTTGGTGTGCAGCGGGATAAAACAACAGCCTCTACAGCAACTCAGGAAATCACACTCAACCAAATTAACCATAATTTATAAACGTATCAAGCAAAGATGTCTAAAAAAACGATGGTGCATATTGTTATCCTGAGTTTAGTTTGTCTTTGGACTGGATTTCCACCCACCTTAATTCTCTGCATGCAGTCTGTAGGGCTCTGGCCGCGAACACAGTGCAATTTTCCGCGAATATTCCGGGCTGTGGCGTTCCCAGCCAGATCCAGACACTTCTGCTCCTCCGCATCGGACACCGCACACCAAGTGACTGTGCAAGGAGAGCAGGACCGTCTTCACATTTGACGTATTCGCATATATATTCACTGGCCACTTTATTACAAAAGCTGTAGCTCATCTGTTGATGCACGATTCTGGTTAGCCATCTTCTAGCACTTTACCAAAAGTTCTGACCACAGACCTGCTCTTGCCTGGATATATTTGGGTGATGGACCATTTTCAACTTGTACAAGCCACCACCACTACCGTGCCGGTGTCACCTTTTTGCTAAGAACTGACCACCACTCAAATTATATCCAAGTCAACAGTGGTCCCATAGTTAGAAACTTACCAATAATTAACGGGGTAAAAGGTGACCTATAAAGTGGACCTACAGCTATAATAGTGGAAATAGCTCAAATTTCAAATTGCCTTTTTCAACTGTTATTGAATCTCAGCAATAAAATCCAAGTAAAACCACACTAACAGCACACAGCAATGACACTGAGATGCTCATTAGCATGGAAATATTAAATACTCACTGATGTTGTTCTGACTGGACATGCTGACTTTTACAAGCAGGAGGAAAGCCAGAGCCAGCAGGTGTCCAGTTGTTTGGTCCATGTTACCTTTGAGCAGCAGCGTCCAGAATGCTCTCAGAGCCACAAGGGTACTGTGGGAAGTAACGATGAAAAAAACAAAACCTCTCCAGGCTCACATTGCCTGCTCTTACGCTCCCAATGACCAGAAAGCCGAAGTGGGGGGGCATAGGGGTTGGATCAGAGGAGAACCTTCCATTAGGCCCTTACTGGTGGCACTATCTCCCTATTTTTTTCCCAATTCTAACGTCCGGCAGTTATTTTCCACTTAAAGGTCTAGTGTTTCCTTCTCCATCCAGCGGGACTGGATGGCATGCGGCTTTCTTGCACACTTCACCTCCCCTGGTCATGGCAGGTCAGATAGCGGAGGTTATAATTAAGTAAGGCACAAAGGCTTTTTGTGGGACAGTCACTAAAGCCCCGGGGGATTAACCTGAGGGCCTGGAACAGGGGCCAAGCACGGCTGAGATTATCGATAGAGAGACAGGAGATGCTTTTGTTCCAGCGGCCGGCAACTTTAAGAAACATATAGGTCGCTTGATACTAGATCTGCTTCCTAATTCCCTTGTTTCCTACCCTATAATCAATGCGTTATTAGAGGGGAATCGTAGGAGATTTGGTTTTAGGAGCTGAACACACATATGTGTAAACTTATACACTCACAAATAGACAGAAAGAGAAGGTTTACACTTCTGTGGTTACACCCATTACACTTACTGGAAACACCTACCTTGCACTTCCACTCACTGGCCACTTTATTAGAAACACCTGCTTTGTACTTGAACTCACTGGCCACTTTATTGGAAACACCTACCTCGTACTTCCACTCACTGGTCACTTTATTGGAAACACCTACCTTGTACTTCAACTTACTGGCCACTTTATTGGAAACTCCTACCTTGTATTTCTACTCACTGGCCACTTAATTAGAAACACTTAACCTGTATTTTTTACTCACTGGCCACTTTATTAGAAACACCCACCTTGTACTTCCACATTTACTGGCCACTTTATTAGAAAGACCTACCTTGTACTTCCACTCACTGGCCACTTTATTAGAAACACCCACCTTACACTTCCCCTCACTGGCCAGTTCACTAGAAATGTCTACGTTCTACTTCAACTTACTGGCCACTTTATTGGAAACACCTACCTTGCACTTCCACTCACTGGCCGCTTTATTAGAAACACCTACCTTGTACTTCCACTCACTGGCCACTTTATTAGAAACACCTACCTTGTACTTCCACTCACTGGCCACTTTATTAGAAACACCCACCTTACACTTCCCCTCACTGGCCACTTCATTAGAAATGTCTACGTTCTACTTCGACTTACTGGCCACTTTATTACACCTACCTTGGACAAACAGCTATTCAACCATCATCGAGTGCTGTTGAATCAACGTTGGATCAGTGTTCAACACGATAGGAGACATACTTTGTACATGAATATTATGTGCCCACATGAGCAAGGTTTACCTATTTAGAAAGAAAAGACAGATTGAGGTTCTCTGGGATATTACCTGTGAATTAAATTTGAAACCTCCCATCTCCTCTACATGGAGCTGAGGAAATGGAACTAGTCACCAGCCCCTTCTGCTAAAATAAGTCCTATTATGTCAGCTCCAGCAAAAAAATGTATGGACTACATTAAATTTATCATTACTGCAAGAAAGTGGTAACTCTCTTTGTGAAGCTAGCGCTCATAATCCCACAAAGCAGAGCGGCCTGTTTGGAGCAGTATGTATCCCACGGTGCACCTGAGGCCTGTCAGCGGCCTTATCTTTTTGCCCTTCTGCGCCTCTGACATCATTTCCCTTTCTCCCCACACAGAAAATGACATTGCCATTAATCAACGGGCTATTTTAGAACAAAAACTGTCGGGCCACAGGCTCCTTGAGTCTTATCACTACAAGGACATTTTGCTTTCTTAAATCATCTGTGTGTGTGTGTGTGTGTGTGTGTGTGTGTGTGTGTGTGTGCACATGTGAATTCATAAAGCTGTGCTGCTATTGTTGTGTAAAAATTATTCAAGAAAACCTATTAAAACAAACAAAAAAATGTCTTTAGCATATACAGTCCCAACACACCAAGTTTCTTCATGTTTCTGGCCAGTTAACAACCAGCTCATTTAATCCTAATGGAGATTTTACCATATGCAGCTTTGAAGTGGTCTTGATTTTACCTGAAAAATAAGTGTCCCACCAGGTAGCATCACATCTTCCAAGTCAGATATCAAAACTGGCCGAGTTGTGACATTAACGTTATTTCCATCACGGTGGAGGAAACAACTGAACAGGCTATCAATGTAATCATTGTGTTCAAAAACACTAATACAATGGGTAAAATCAATAGATCACAATATATGCTAGCTCATTAGCTCATGTGTTCTGTCAGAGTTTTTGTTGTAGCTCATTAGCTAGTTGGCTAACATCAGTAAAAAAAGGCCAGAACTGATAGCTCACCGATAATGCTAGTTCATTAGCATCTACTATGTGTTCTGTCAGTTTTGCTTCTGTTGTAGCTCATTAGCTAGTTAGCTAACATTTGTAAAACAGGTAAAAAGATAGGTGCTAGCTCATTAGCTCATGTGTTCTATCAAAGCTCTTGTTGTAGTTCATTAGCTAGTTAGCTAACGTCTGTAAAACAGGCCAAAACTGATAGATCACATGATCGATGCTAGCTCATTAGCATCTTATGTGTTCTATCAGTTTTGCTTTTGTTGTAGCTCATTAGCTAGTTAGCTAACATCTAAACAGGTAAAACAGGTAAAAAATGTAAGATCGCAATAGATGCTAGCTAGCTAATGAGCTACAACGACCATTTTAACCAACAACCATCCCATCCATGTTTTTTGTTTACCTCAAACATAAACCATAGGAACCTGCACATCATATAAACGAGCCTAATACCACCTGACGCATTAAAACGCAGCATTAGGGCACTCAGAAATACTCTTAATGTTACCCTAAATGGCCTCTTAAAATCTAGGATACATATACTCACATCTCTGACTGCATTCAAACTAATAGACTACAAAATATTGAATTCAAGACAACCTATCCAACATTTGTGTATACACTGATCAGCCATAACATTGAAACCACCTCCTTGTCTCTACACTCATTGTCCATTTTACCAGCTCCACTTACTATATAAGAGCACTTTGTAGTTCTACAGTTACAGATTGTAGTCCATCTGTTTCTCTTTGTTGCCCTGTTCTTCGATGGTCAGGACCCTCCCAGAGCAGGTACTATTTGGGTGGTGGATCATTCTCTGCACTGCAGTGACACTGATGTGGTGGTGGCCCAATTTCAGTTATTCTGTAACTCCATTTTGTACATGTGGGGGCATATAATGGCGTATGATGTTACAAAGCTTACATGATCCGGTAAGGCTGTATTTTCAGTACGGTTATATAGATCACTTAGTGCTTGTCAACTTTTGTCTGCTTTCCAATAAGTTTGTGGTCTAAAGCATATTTTAAAAAAAAATCCATTTGTGGCAGAGGCATCAGTCAAAATAGTACCCAAATAAAACAATTTTTTTCTACCAATTTTTAATAACATTACATAAAAAAGTAAGAAAACGTTGTAAGTTCACGGGTCACTTTGAATAATAAATGAAATTGCATTTTTTGTGTTGCCCCCTGTTTCCTGTCACCACCACTGTATAGAAATCGGAGTCAATACGTTTCTCTACAGTAAACCGTTCCACATCGAACCGCTCTGAATGACTCTTTCATTTCAGCTGTTGAATTGTGTAAAACTTTTGACAGTTTGTTGAAGTTTAACTTAATTAAAAATAACGTTTTTACCTTCCTTTTTCCTTCACACAGCTAGTACCGCAGCAGAACTACAATACCCACAATGCACTCCTCCGTCGAAGTTGTTTACGGTGACGTCTTTGTCCCTGATCTCCGTCCAGTGTCCGTGGGTGGCGCTCCATCTGCTAACTGCCAAAGCAGCTCCAACCTTTCCCCAAAAAGGCTCAGAGCTCACAAATTTGGGACAAAATGTGTCTGTTTCTCTAGCTGAGGTAAGAATAAACTCGGAGGTGTGTTATTTGTGCAGTAATGTGAACCGCAGCTAGTCAGGACTAGGATATAGTTAGCTGTAGGCTAGGCTAGCTGGTTAAGTCAGTCTAGGGCGCAGCGACGGCTGGCTAACGCTAACGCTACATTACCGAGCCGTGTGAGGTGTTTACGGGATGTTTAGTGTTTGGCTGGGGTTGGACTGTGTTGGACTGGGTTGGACTGTGTTGGACTGGGTTGGACTGTGTTAGACTGTGTTAGCCGGCAGTGCTGGAGGTGAGACCGAGATATTAACAGGCTTTATTAACGGAACGGCTCCTTATTAGCGACGATTAGCGGCGCTGGCTAACTTCTCTAGATAACTTCGTTCTCTGAGGTTCGTGACCGTTAAACAGCCACAAATTCACACATTTAGACCGCTGCACTTAAAAAGATGCTGCTGCAAGGGGGTTTTAGTAAATGCAGTGGTTCTATTTAGAACCAGGAGTTCTATATAGAACCATTTCGTGCTTAAATGTGCACTCTTAAAAAAGATGGTTCTGTAAGGGGTCTTTGGTAAAGACCGTGGTTCTCTTTAGTACCAGGAGTTCTATATAGAACCATTTCATGCTTAAATGTGCATTCTTAAAAAAAGATGGTTCTTCAAGGGTTTTTTAGTAAAGACTGTGGTTCTGTTTAGAACCAGGTTTTTCATATAGAATCATTTCGTGCTTAAATGTACGCGTTTAAAAAGATGGTTCTTCAAGAGTTCTTTAGTAAATGCAGTGGTTCTATTTATTACCGTGGGTTTTACGTAGAACCATTTCTTGCTTAAATGTACACTCTTCACGGGTTCTCTGTTAAAGACAATGAATCTGTTTAGTACCTTGAGTTCAATGTAGAACCATGTCATGCTTAAATGCACACTATTAAAAAAAAAGATGGTTCTTCAAGGGTTCTTTAGTAAAGATAGTGTTTCTCTTTATTACCACAAGTTCTATATAAACCCCAGTTCATGCTTGAATGTACACTTTTAAAGATGGATCTTCAGTGGGTTCTTAGTAAAGACGACGGTTCTGTTTAGGACCTTGAGTTCTGGGTAGTACCATTTCATGCTTGAATGTACACTCTTTAAAAAAATGGTTCTTTAAGGGCTCTTTGGCAAAGACAATGGTTCTATTTAGTACCTTCAGTTCTATATAGAATCATTTCACGCTTAATTTGTTTGCATGGTGTAATGGTTCTTCATCGGTTCTTTAGTAAAGACAGTGTTTCTGTTTAGTACCTTGAGTTCTATATAAAACCATTTCATGCTTGAATGTGCACTCTTAAAAAGGATGGTTCTTCAGTGGTTCTTCATTAAAGACAATGGTTCTATTTAGTACCTTGAGTTCTGTATGTAATCATTTCATGCTTAAATGATACTTAGCATTGATGGTTTTTCAGATTGATGGAGAATGTGTTCTATATGGAACCTCTATATCGCACCAAAAAGGGTTCCTCTACTGTTACAATCTTGACATTGTAACAACAGCAGGACCCTTTTTGGTGCTACATAGAACCATTTTCAAAAAGGGTCTATGCAGGACCATCTAACACATTCCCTCATCCATTTGAAGAACCATTCCATCCTGCAGAAAAAAACATTTAAGCGTGAAATGGTTCTATATAGAAATTGAACCATTGCCTTTACTAAAGAACCCTTGAAGAACCATCTTTTTTAAAGTGTCTACTGTTCAGCGTCTAACTCAGTATTTTGAGGAAACGTGTTCACTGTATCGTTAACCATGTTGCAAGAGTCCTTTTATTCCTTTGTCTTTTGTACTGCCTGTTTTTTGTTTGTTTGTTTGTTTGTTTACTAGATAGCTATTTAATTAAAAGTAGTTAATTACAGAGCGTAACCATATGACCTATTACCTGTCTACTGGTAAGAATATGTAAGAAAACGTTTTTTAAAATCTGCTCAGGATCATTTGTGGCCGTTAATATGTAGCCAATATTTAGCTTAAGTAACTAAGTTAACACTAAAAGGCTCACTTACTATTAAAGGGCAATTCCACCCATTTTTCAAAATTTCTGCAGACTTCAGGGTTTAGATTTTTAAACAGAATCATTCACAGTTTGTTTGATATGTGATGGTTTTGTGTAGGAAAACACTTGCAGACATTTACAATTTACAGTGATGGTGATGGGAACCAGGGGTCCCGTTCACCATTTTATGTTCAATCCAACATGTCCATTGAACCCTACACATGACCTGAGGGTAAATGCAATGGTAAGAGTAGTACAGTAGTGGTAAAGCTGAAAAATTGTTTCAATGTTTTCCTGGGGGATTATAGTGCCTTTTAGCGCCCTGCGTGTACCTCGCCGCCACTGATATATATGTTTAGTGTAAAGCTCTGTTGTAAAACGATGCTTTAGGCATCAGACAGAATATTTGTAATCATTTTGTGTAATAACCTTCTGTGAGGAGCAATAAACTTCATAGACGTCTGGTTCTTATCACCACCACAGTGAAAAATTGTGACCATAGAACAAACTGTTACAAAACAAACCACTCTGAATGTCTTTGTTTACATCTTAATAATTGAATTATGAAGAATAATGATTCACTTCACTCGTGCCTGCTGTTTTATCACCCAAAGGGACCAGACTATCATCTGCAAGGACGATTTAGATGAATATTTGTGGGAAAGAAGACACAGCTCCAGTAACGCTTCTCTACCTTTCATTTTCAGACGATGACTGTGCTGGTGAGGCCTGGTGGCTATGCAGATGTATAAAGGCGGTGTTGAGAGTCACATCAGGATTTGTACCAGTAAGACGATCTGCTTAATTCGACTTGTTATCTTTGCATGCACAGGTGTTGTTTTCCCTCCATCCGAATTTGCTTCTCAGCACGAGCATCAATCACTGAATAAGCATCAAAAATGGGTCCAGGTGTTGAGACTTTAAGTGCTTTAAATTGTTCCCAGATGGTTTTACTGTTTCATAAGTGTGACCGCGTCGCAGGTCCGTCTTCCTCGCCCGCCAGAAATATTCAGGCTTTTTGTTCCGACATACTGAGAAACCACCAGGAATTACAGTCCACTTGGCTCTAATGTGTAAGGAATCAATTTGGCGAGAGACTGGGACAATAATTGCGCTGTGTTCTGAGTGAATGATGAAATCTATCCACATAAAAGCTTGATGGTGCCCCTCCACCCCCCAAATCAACCATTTCTATCTTTTTGTGACGCACTGCTCCGCTCCAGTCGCTTTCATGTCATTCGGCGGCAGGCCCTTTGCTTCCTGGTTGCCATGGAGACTGTGCCCGGGTACCAGCCTGCGCTGGCTCTGTCCGAACAGCCTGAAACTTGGTTCAGATCCTCAGCCTGCACCGCCATCTGATTGATATTTATTACAAATGGGATGACATGTGAATCATTATTTATTGGGTGCTCATCACTAATGAATGAAATATGGGCCAATTATCTTCAGTTTTCACACCAGTGCATCCTTACCTGACCTAATAAAACAAATGCATGATGAAATGCAAATCTATTATTAATACCTTTTAAACAGTCTCCAAATATTCCAGTGTTGTAAGTGTTGTAAAAGCATTGCTGCTCAAGTGTAGATGATAAAAACTAACGTCTGAGAGAACAAAAGTCCTGTGAGTGGTGTTGGAGTGACAGAAAGCTGGAATAGAACCTGTTTTGTGGTGTTTGGGACTGTAGTGTTTTGGCTAAGCTAACTATAGCTTGGTTAGCAGGTCAAACATGCCAGACAGCACAGAAAAGGCTTGGTTCTAGCTAACTGATGCTAAAATGGACACCAGTTTAGAGGATATCGGAGAGCGCAAATTCGAGTGACTGGCTACAGTCTTTCTATGTTTCCTTCTTAGGCCAAATAAATTAGAAGCTCTGACCAAAATGTCACATGCAGGCTCTTCACTGCCCTCTGGTGGAGTATATCTCATGGTTCCTATGATGTATAACATTTCTGAGAAGCTAATTTGCATATCAAAAATTCTGATTTACTGTCCGATTTTTTTTAAACTTTCATGACTCTTAATGTTTGAAATTCTAACTCATCTCTAATTAATTTCCATCTAAAAAATTGCAATTAGCTGTCAACACAGTAGCTCTGTACTGATGACAGATAGAGCTTGAGCTCAAATAATCAAACGTTACTCACCGTCACCCTCTAAAGGTGTTAACAAACATCAAATAAACAGACATTACTCACTGTCGCCCTCTAAAGGTATCCTTAACAACATCAAATCAACAATTACTCACTGTCGCCCTCTAAAGGCGTTAACAAATATCAAATAAACAAACTTTACTTACTGCTGCTCTCTAGTGTTATTAATAAAAACACCAAATAAAAAACATTACTCACCGCCGCCCTCTAAAGGTGTCAACAAAGGTAAAAAAACAAACATTACTCACCGCTGCCCTCTAAAGGTGTTAATAACAAACATCAAATAAACAAACATTTTTCCCCACCCACTGTTGCATGGTGACATCACCATAAGAGATGTTCTAGAAGCAGAGCAAAAGTCATTACCTTGTAATTAAACATTATGGTAAAACAACAATGTTGATAATACTTAATCATGCTTAATATGACCAGTAACATGAACTAACAAAGAAAAACGGGTTCAGTTGATTTCAGATTGACGTTAACAGTTATATTTGTTCGTTGATGTCTCACAGTGCACTGTAGTTCAGCAGACAATCCCCTCGCAGGTTGTGGATCTAGGCTAAGCATGTGCATTTCTAACACTTCGTGTCTCTTTTCTAGTGCAGTGAACCAAATGGGTCATTGCTGCACCCGAGTCATTTTCCTCCTGCTGCTCCAGGCGTTGCAGACTTTAGCTGAAGGTAAGTATTCACTGTATGCACTGCATTCTGTAGCTATGAATCCCCACCTTCTGTAGGGTATTTTACCATGTGCCAACAGATGTCTCACAAGAGCCTCGCAAACAGTATTAAAACAAAAAATTTAGGCGTATCTTAGAGGCTCTCTCAACTTTGCTTTCTAATCTGTAAACCAGGAAAATGGAAGCAGGAGAGAGGAAGAAAACAGCCTCAATTATCTGTCAGGAAGACACTTATCTATAAGTATTTGCGTCATTCAATTCGGTTCCATCTTCCTATATTGATTGCTTTGTTTCTTCTATGTTTGTTTGTATGTCCAGATGGGTCCATTGACTGTGTGTGCGTGGGCAGTGACTGCATGTCGCAGCAGTGTAAGGGAGACCAGTGCTATGCCTCCGTGACCGTTAGCAACGATGTACCCTCGTTCAGGCGCGGGTGTTTGATTGGCCCAGAGAGCAGGCGGATGACCTGCTCGGCTGCCCCCTCGGCCAGTCATGTAGTGGAGTGCTGCTCTCAGCCAATGTGCAACGTCAACGCCTCGGTGGAGTCACTGCTGCAGCTGCTGCCCAAGAGTAAGAATCACTTGAGTGCAAGATATTGTCTTCTCAAACTAAGCATGTCCTTAATTTGCTGCAATAGGAATCAATTCCATGTAGATGCAGCAACTAATTCATATAATAATCATTGTTGGGGATTTGGAGACCTCTCTGGTGAAAATTTGTAATTACATGCAACATGCAGAAGATTATTTTGTAATGTCAATGATCATTTTTGCTGCTGCTTGTCAGCCTACGCCACTGGGGTGTTAAGGTCCCCTTCGCCGATACCACATTTAAGTGCCAGTATTGGAGTAGATAGCAGTACGGTATCGATATGGCTTCCACTCTAATTGTTGCATCCTAATTTTTTGGTATCATCTGTGCTGAAATAATTTTTGATAATCCCAGCGATTGAACATTGTACTCTTGACAAAAGCTCCAGTTGACTACATGTGCTTCTGTGATCAGGTCCAGAGGGGGAGCCTGTGCGCTACCGTGTGGAGACCCTGGTGCTTTTTGTACTGGGACCCTTCGTAGTGCTGGCCCTGCTGGCCACTCTGGCAGTGCTGGTCTGCCGCAGGCTCCATCCAGGCCGCCTGGAGAGACTGCACGAGTTTGATCCGGAGCAGGGCGCCATTGACGGCCTCATCGCTCCCAACGTGGGAGACAGCACCTTGGCGGTACGAGATTAGCCTTCCGTGTTTGGTGTCAGAAGTTTGTTTCTTTAGTCTTTTTACTAGAGCCACAAGGCTAATATAGGCTAAAAAGTAATGGAAGCTCATGTTTGCTAATTAGCATTGTGCCTACTTTAAACCAGGGGTGTCAGACTCAACCACTAAAAAGGCCATAGTAAAGTGCTCAACAAATCTGTGGGTCAGCTGTGTTTTATTTCATTTTTACTTAACATTGTGCCATGACCCCAACTGGCCATTTTTTATTCAAAATATGCCAAACCTGCAACAGCAAAATAAGCACTGGATACTTAAACTATTCAAAAATCATTTTAAGTAAAAAAAAAAAGTTTTATATAAAACAATAGGCTACATTAGCTGTTAAGCCACTTTATAGGCTACATTAGCTACAGGGAACTGTTAAGCCACTTTAAATATCCCCAGAAGGTAGGTTTTTGGAAACTGCCTATTTGCTTGAACTAGACACCAGGCATCTTTTCTTTTTGGGTAACCGCGGACTCATAGATCGTTGTGGAGGAAGGGGGTCGGGGCACACAGTATGTTATAGTGCATATTGCGGACTGCGGTGCCCAGCTAATTATAATAGAAAATTAAAATAATTTTGCGGGCCGAATAGGATTGTACCACGGGCCTGACTTGGCCTGCAGGCCTTGTGTTTTACACATGGGCCTTAAACCATGTTGAGTTATAATATAAGTAGTCTTGCTTGTGTGATTTCTGAAACTGTACGACTCTCATTTTTGTTTGTTACATTGGTTGTCTTTTCTCTGTTTAGTATTTGGAAGCTTCATCCTTTTTAAGCCATAAAAATTGTAGCCTGAAATAAATTTTAGCCTTAGATAGAACAGTTACTGCTAATATATGAAAAATCTTAAGTTATAGCTGATTTGGTTGATGCCTCGAATTCAGAGTGCAACAAACTGCGCTGTTTTTCACATGGCTAGAGGAAGAAATATGCCTAAGAAATCACATGTGGGGTCATTTTAAATGAGCTGATGCTCAGCTCTGTCGTGTAACCACTTGAGGTGGGAAAATTAGCTGTTTTTCTGTCTTTCACTTCTAATTAAAACTTGCTAGCACAAACAGCAGATATTTTGAGGAAGTCCTAATCACAATTGCTGCATCAAACAATGTATTTTAAAAACGTTAAAATATACAAACGTATCTGTTTTGTCAGATAAACAACTAAAAAAAAAAAGCTTCAAACTTGAATTTAAGGGTGATTTTGAGAATGAGCATTCGAGTTACTCGTTTGGCAAGTATTTAAATCCTGTAAAATGCAGTTCAGGGCAGCCCTGGTTGTCTACAACAATGGGCAAAAGTACATAAACGTTGCATAGGTAAAAAGGGTCATACAGCCATTTTCAAGCCTGAATTTTGTTCATACTTCTGTCTATGTATTGGTTGATGAACTGCAGTTACGGTAGAGGTAGTGTGTTTTTTAAACTCTCTTTTTTTAAAATATCTTTGTTTTGCATTATTAAGTCAGACCTTAATAGATCATTAGTAGTGAAACCATAACTAAAAGGTTATTATGAATACACTAAAGTAATTTTCAAGACATATTTAAATATTTGTATAACCTACTGGCACAAAGGCGCAAACATATTACTCGGTGTGCCTTTAATTTGTTTTCTTGACGTGTAACGGTTGTCATTTTTGATTTGTAGGATCTACTTGATCACTCCTGCACATCTGGCAGTGGGTCTGGGCTGCCCTTCCTGGTGCAGAGGACGGTGGCCCGTCAGATCAGCCTGGTGGAGTGTGTCGGTTAGTGGGGCAGACTGCTGTTGCATTCATCTGAAATCTAGATCCCCAGTACCCAACCACTAATATCAGCTGCTTCTTTCAGAGCCAGTGGCTTGCTCTCTGATTTCTATATGAACAGTGTTGTTTTCTCTTCTTTTCCCAGGAAAAGGGCGATACGGGGAGGTGTGGAGGGGACAGTGGCAGGGAGAGAACGTGGCTGTGAAAATCTTCTCCTCCAGAGACGAGAAGTCCTGGTTTCGGGAAACGGAGATCTACAACACTGTTCTACTGCGGCATGAAAACATATTAGGTGAGGCATATTTCCTTTTTTCTTTTTTCCACTCTTTCACTGGGTCTCATAAATTGTGGGTGAAATACATCAAGTTTCCAGGGCACAGTTCATAGATCAACCCAAGCACAGAATAAAAAATGTATTAAGTGGAGAACTCCTGCTAACTCAGGTTGTGTGCTAAAACTAAAAGGCTGGAGTAGCTTTGAAGGTATCAGTTCAAAAGTATAAAGTTTTAAAAAGGGAGTTTTAGGCCAGAAAATATTATTTAATTTGTTCATTTTCATGGTATACATCAGAGGTCACTAATAGGCGGACCGCGGTCCGAGTCCGGACCCAGACGCTGTCCTATGTGGACCTGGACCTATAACGGATAAACTATGGGGAATTATTTAATTTCGATGGGGTGGTCCTATTTTAGTCGGCGTAACTGTTCTAGTCTTTACGGTAGCTTTAGGGGCCCGGGACACTCACAGACCAATCACATGCGTTGTAGATATCATGTTACGCCAATCAGATCTGTGTATCTGTGTATTTCTCATCAGAATACACAGCATGCGTTATGCAAATGCACAAATATGTCATACAACCATTGGAAATACCCTACATAGCGATAAAGAAAGGTACTGATGTAGAGGCTAACAAACACAGACGTGATATTCGACTTCTTAGCAGTAGCATTAGCTGTCTTGCTTCCACTTGCTTCAACAATCTAGCAGAAAAAAAAACATTTTAAACAGCCCACCCTAAAAATCGCCCCCAAAGCACTTCTTGTTTTTCAAAAATTCCACCCATCTTCAAGATACATCTTAAAAAATGTTTTTTCCTAGTTTTTAAATTAGAAAATTTCACTCTCAGGACTGTTGTGGCGCCACTGTCGGAGGTGAGTAGGAAGATGCAGCAGTGGTTACATTTCTCATTTTGACCAGAACGCCCCTTTAAAATTCCTACAGCACTGAAACTGAAGCATTCAATGTTTTAACATCCTTTAAACATCCCACACTCAGGGTTCATGGCGTCGGACATGACCTCACGGAACTCCAGCACTCAGCTGTGGCTGATCACGCATTACCATGAGAACGGTTCACTGTACGATTACCTGCAGCGGGTGGCCGTGGACATGTCTGACGGCCTGCAGATGGCCGCCTCGGTGGCCAGCGGCCTCGTTCACCTGCACACGGAGATTTTCGGCACCGAGGGTAAACCGGCCATCGCCCACCGCGACCTGAAGAGCAAGAACATCCTGGTGAAGAAGGACCTGCGCTGCTGCATCGCGGACCTCGGTTAGTGGCCCCACCTGCCCAGCGCTTCAGCGTTTTTTTAATAAAAATTTCACTAGTGCCTGACGATTTTGAGGATTTTAGCCAATGTCAGCTAAACATTCAATATCAGCTTATGTAATATTATGTTTGTTTTTTACATTTTAAATTTATACTCCAGTAGATTTAGTTAAACAGTGCCTGGCAGACACGGTTGTCAGTTCTAAACTGTCTTATTTCTTAAATGACATAAATAAACTCATAGTTTGTAAAGTCACTAATTATCAGTAAAACCCATGAGTTGCCAATATTGGCTGCAATCGTCCTTATAGATTTGGTCCCTGGTCTAGATGGTTTTTTCATTGTACAGTGTTGATCCGTCTATTCTGTAGAGACTATGGGAACATTTTTCATAAGTATTACGCTAACATTGTAACATGATGTAAAATTTTTATTTAGGCTCTTGGTCAGTGCCCATACATTTTTAGCCTTTATTCAGTCCTTTCATTCATTTCTCAAACTTCCTCTTCTTCTTTCCAGGCCTGGCGGTCACTCACTCTCAGGCAGACAATCAGCTGAATGTGGGGAATAACCCCAAAGTGGGCACTAAGCGCTACATGGCCCCCGAGGTGCTGGATGAGTCCATTCAGACGGACTGCTTCGATGCCTACAAGAGGGTGGACATCTGGGCCTTTGGCCTGGTGCTGTGGGAGATCGCCCGCCGCACTTACAGCAACGGTCAGTTCCATGAAACGAACAGGCGTTTGGGTGGGATGAACACCTTTTAAGACCATTCAGTCACTTCAGAAATATGAAAATATAAAAAAAAAGGCTGCCCCCCCACATCCTGTTCATTTTCAGTGGTTTGGCAATATACGGCTGTTGGTGATTGAACCAGTTTGGTGAATAACTGTCCAATGTCTGTTGTAGGGATTGTGGAGGAGTACAAGCCTCCATTCTATGACCTGGTGCCTAATGACCCCAGCTTCGAGGACATGCGTAAAGTGGTGTGCGTGGAGCAGCAGAGGCCATTCATCCCCAACCGCTGGTTCTCTGATCCTGTACGTATCACTTCAAACTCTCAGAAATAAAGGTATAAACTGTCTCTGGGGCAGTACCCCTCACTGGGGTGGTACCCTAAAGGGAACATAACTGTACCATAATCCACTGAAATAATATTTTCTAAGTTGTGTCAACTCCACACACCCCGTCTCGTCTCCAGGCTTTTTATTTTACTGTTCTGTTTTAAAGCATTGGGTTATAAAAAGGTACAAATATGTACTTTTCACCCAGGAGAAACTTAGTTAAGGTGCACAACTGGACCTCAAAACCACTGTTGTAATTTTCTGGATAAATTTACATTGTTTGTACCTTAATGAGTGAAAAATGTATCTGCACAGAACCTTTATTTCTAACAGTGTATTAGGGTACATGCTATAGCTTTATAAACTGCTGTGGTGGACGGCAAAGGTTGGGAAAACTGAACGTTGGTACTGGCCGAATTATCCCTCACGGCTCCATTGCATTGAGAACAATAGAATATCCGGTTTGTCGCCACCAACATGTGAACACAGCATTAGACTGGTTAGAACCTCACAGAGCCTGTATATTTGCTTGTGTCTCATAGACGCTGTCTGCTCTGGTGAAGCTGATGAAGGAGTGCTGGTACCAGAACCCATCGGCTCGCCTCACGGCCCTGCGCATCAAAAAGACTCTAGACAAAATCCACAGCTCCTTGGAGAAGGGCAAGCCGGACTGCTGAGCCCCCAGGAACAGAGCGAAAGCCCTTCTAGCAGGACCCCACAGATGCTGGCAGTGGTGTCTGTATTACGGTCCTGGATGTTCATCTTGCTGGTCTAGGAACAGCTCCCCCATCGCCTCTGTAGGAAACACTGATCCTGGATCTGCACCCTTGCTCTTCTCCAAGACCTTCTGATCATTCTCTGCAATATTTTGTGAATCCAGTTTTACATCCCCCTTTCTTTTATGACTCTGACTGACAGCATCAGACCGGACAGCGGCCGTGCAATACAAGCAAAGCCGGTTTTGTGGGCTGTATCGGACTGAAACCTCAACATTTGCGCTGGGGCTTGTTTTGTACCTGGTCTCAGAGACTCATATAGACCCCCCGGCCAGCGTAAAGATTTATGCATCAACACGCCTCAGAATCGCTACCCATAATGGAGAGCCAGTGCAGTGTGATCATCCAAATCACTTAAGAAGTTCTGCTGTTCAAATTAGACTACTTAGTCATAGGGGAGCTGATCCTGGATCAGCATTTTGGACTTTGAGACTCTTCAACGTTTTTAAACGTCGTTTTTCCAGACAATCTCACCACACAAGAGTGAACGGACAACACTGGATAGATTCTAAGACACTAATCCTGGTATCCTCCAGACTGCTACACTACCACAGTAGATTTTGGAAAGAAAGTCAGCCTGACGAAACATCCTTCTTTATCCCTCTTTAGAAACACTAAAGACACTTTTTCATGTTTTCAGTCATCTTATCGTTGGCCCAGTGCGGTCAGTGTTGGTTCGGTTCAGCATTTAGTGCCCTGCTGTAGTTTTTGCCTGTGACTGAAGCCATCCTGGCACTAAAGCCTTTCTCGCGCTCTCTTCATCTTCCTTTATCTCTCGTGCAGCCCTTGCGCTGGGCAGTCCCACTAAAACTTAAGTGACAATCATTTGCTGCTCGGTCAGTCCTGCATTACTAGGCTGCGTTTTATGGACGTCCTTTGTCATATTGCTATAATGCAAATCTTTGTAGGTTAACCTTTATGCCTTTTTCTGTCAGCATCGACACACATTCACCGTCATGTACGCTGTAGTCATTTTAAGTGTTCCCAGTGCTTTTTGCTCTTGAATTGCATAGTAAGCAGAGCAAGTGCAACTGAAACATGTATTGGTTCGCATCTGCTTTATAAAAGACACAGTTCGGAGGCTGTTGAGGAGGCAGATTGCGTCTCGTTTGAGAAGCTTTTGGGCTCTAGACGTGGACACGAAGACACTGATGTATTTATAATGAATGAGGACAAAGAAGTAGGAATACCGCTAGACACTGCATTGTAAACTGTGACCGTAATAGAATGTAATATATTGTATTTAAAGATAGGAATACTAAAAGTAACGTAGCTCGGATAAGGCTTCCTCGCTTTGCCAAGGCGCACCTGCTCTGGTTTTATTACCTTTTACTCAAGCACGTTTTACACTTACGGGGGAGTTCCACTAATTTTCTTTTGCAAAATTTCTGCATAATTCAGAGCGGTTTAATGTGAAATGGTGCACTGCAGGGAAACTGATCGACTCAAGATTCCTGGACAGTGGTAGTGATAGGAACCAGAAGGCACCGTACAATAATATAGCCATTTTATACTATTATACTATCCAGAATGACAAATGAACCTACATGTGTGCTCATTGTACAGCTGTAAAGACATATTCTGTCCAAAATCTTCTAAAAAATATCTGAAAAACATGTCTGACATCAGGCAGTGTCTTCATAACCATTTCATGTAATGACTTTCTGTGAGAGAGCTTTTAGAGGTGGATGTCTGGTTCCTATCACCACCACTGTGAACAGTTCTGACTCAGTAAGTTTCTCTAGAACAGAGCGTTTCACCCCAGACCACTCTGAATGACTTTACAGCTTAATAATTTAATTATGCAAAAATTTTAGAAATTTTGAAAACTTGGTGGAATTCCCTTTCAAAACAGCTTCCGCTTATCCACACTGTGAGAATGATCTGTTTCTGGTCTCTGAACAAAAAGGGTCCACGCTGATGGAATCGTGAGGACCCTGAAGCTTTTGTCTTCCTGCGCATAAAGTCAAGCTAAACAATGCCTTATGAAGCAGGAGCCGCTTCAGGTTCTGCCCACCCCAGCATACGTGGCGGGGTGGGGGGGGTGGGGGGAGCACAAAGCAGACCAAAAGTCAACCGTACCCAGTAGATGATGAAGATGAAGTAAGGATCATTCCTGTTGGGCGGTGCTCATTTTGGGGTTAAATTATCTGGCTAACAGAGATACAGATATACTCCCCTGATTCAGCTCATTATTAAAGGGGAATTCCACCAAATTTTCTAAATTTCCACATGATTCAATCATTGAGACAACAACATTCTGAGTGGTTTGATGTGAAGTGGTTTATTGTAGAGACACTATGGCTGAGTTCGCACTGCAGGTAAAAGTGGCCCAAATCAGGGGCCAGTTTCATGAAATGTTTTAAGAAAGAAAATCTTCTTAAATGTGGTTTTTTTTTGTTTTGTTTTGTTTTGTTTTTTTTTGTTTTTTACTTCATTCTAAAGAAAAAAGTTATGAGAAATTCTTATTCAGATAACTTCTTAAGAATGATCTTATTTTTTTCTTAACTATTGTCTTAAAAACAACTCTAAGAACAAGTGTTATTCTTGAAAACATTGTTCTCACAGCTGTAAGAGTCGACAAGGTCAGCCTCTAAATTTATCACGGACACTGTCTTTGCTCCTCCTGTCCATCCTCGTCTGTCACCCCATAATGTTCATATTTCCAGTGAGGATTTTTTTCTCTGTTGTCTGTTTCTTCCACCATCATCTCTTGTTCTTGTTTGCTAAATTTTTTTGAACGCTGGGTTTGATGTTTTTCCCCCCATTTTGCTCCTCTGAGCGGATTAAACTAAACAATGGAAATAACACAATACAAATTCAGAATGCATCTTGCATTGTTTATGGTACGGGGTACTTGTTTTAAAAAAACAATTAAGATTATCTTCAGAGAAGTTTGTGTTTTTCGAGAATTACATTTAGGAACGTTCTTATGAACCTCTTAGTGTTTGTCGTAAGAACCTTCACGGGTTTTTTCCTAAGAAAGCTTTCGTGAATCCGGCCCCTGATCTTTTTATTCATATGTGAGACACCTTTGTTTTTGTGTGACAGTGTGAACAACAAAAAAGACACACTGGCACTTATTCATCAAAGCTGCGTTTAAAAGAACACACAGTCTTTAATGATGTGCAAATTCTGTGTCTGAAACAAGCAGAGCTTTTAGCGCATATAAGAAATCGGCCTCAGTGCGTGAAATCAAGCGCTGGCCCACCAGCACCTCATTTACATATGATGTACATGAAACGTTCTAATTCGTGCAGATGTTTCAGGACTAAGGTGTAAGGAGCCCATTCAAAGGCTCGTGAGCCAATGTTTGTGGTCATGGCCGGAGGAAAACTGTGTTGGATGAGCATGTGGGGCGACCTTCTCTAGATGATGTCCAATACAGGCCACGTTACAAATCAGATCTGAATGTCCGAGTTCTTTACAGTGGTGCTGACAGGAACCAGGGGTCACAATGCCTACAGTACAAATATAATCACTTTATTTACTACCCAAAATGACCAGTGGACCTACAGGGTCTTCTGAGCTTTTATATGTAACATTGATGATGGTAAAATAGTGATAAATCTGACTTAAAACTGTTCCTCACTATGCTCTGCATTTACTCCTCCACCATGAATGAATAAAAGATTAATAGCTAAAATCCTTTTTTCAAAACTGTAAAAAAACATTTTAGATATTAGGCAGCGTCTGTCATGCAATAACTTTGTGAGGGAGCTTTTAAAGGCATTCAGACGTCTGGTTCCTATCACCACCACTGTGAACAATTCTGATCCTCTAAGTTTCTCTAGAACAGAGCACTTCACACCAAACCGCTCTGAATGACTTTGTTTACATCTCAACCATTTAAATATGCAGATAAAAAAAAAAAACAGAGAAATGTCCCTTTAAGCCCGTCATCAGGAGTGTTGAGATGGCAAATACTTGAAATCAGACGACAGGCAGAATCTGCAAACGTGCTTGCCAGACCACCTCTAGTGTTAAAGAGTGTCCGAATCCTTTTTCCGTTCAGCAATACTTGTTACGCAGTTTAGAAAGAAGAAAAATTCATAGTAGAAGGCAAGTTTGGTGCTTATGAGTTGTTTTTTTTTCCCCAGCAATGTTTTTTTATTTTTAAGATGCGTTTACAATTAGCTGTGTTTCTTTTAAGGACGTTGTTTGAATTTATGCACATTTTTACATGCCAGAAAAAAATGCCCACTGTTAACCAAAATAATTGCCTACATGGATTTAAATAAATTCATAGGAAAGGAACTTGTTAGATGGAATCCAGTGTATTTAACTGACGAGTTACAATAAAATGTCATGCTGGGTTAATAAAACGCCTTCAGTAATTCCCACTGTGGCTGTTTTAAATGATTATTTGGAGAAATAATTAACTCCAGGCTCTGTAAGTGACGTTCGTCGTGACTGCAGCGCTACATTAGGAATAATGTCAGATTTTAATAGGAAATTTTACATCCAGCAATTTCACATGTCTCACGTTTCATGATTTGCAATCAGAATTATTCAAAACCATTTGGAGTCCATCATTACAAAACATCTGCTCTCTGGAGTCAGCAGTGCTTCATTTTTATTCTATCCACTAGAGATGTTTATCAAATCGTGCACCAGTGGAAGTTCGTGATGAGAACCAGACGCATCAACGTTTGCATCCTAACATTAGAAAACTCTTCTCAAACCATTTGTAAAAGCTCTCCCTGAGGCTCAGCTGGACTCAGCGTCAGCGAATGTCGTCCGGCAGCGTCTTATAAGGGTTAAGAATCCCTTTGGGGTCCAGCATGGCCTTGATGTTGCCCATGAGGGTCACTGCTTCAGGGGTCTTGCTGTAGTAGATGTAGTTCCTCTTCTTCAGGCCCAGGCCGTGCTCTGCGCTGATGCTGCCCTGGTATCGCGACGTCCACTCGTACACGTACGGCTCAATGGCAGCCAGCAGGGCCGGGTCTTTGGAGGGAGAGGTGATGTTCAAGTGAAGGTTGCCGTCGCCTGAAGGAAGCCAGAGAAGCCAGTTATGATGGTTTTAAAACTTTAAAACTGCAGTTTGGCAAGAAAGTAATATGTACACATCTCCCAGGTCAAGTTTGCTTCTGTAGTTCTGCACTGGAGCTATGAGGCTAATGTAGCTAACTAGCCGCAGGCCTACGTGATCACTCATTTGCCTCAAATCACACCAAGTTGTTAAGTAATCTCAAACAGACTTGCTTATGTAGTATCTGATAATAATAATGACTGATCTTCATTATTTATGGTTGATTCCAATTTCATTACAGCCAGATTTTTTTTGTCTGATTTTCGTTAACTTTTTTAAATGCGAAGCTCACACTGTGTGGGTTAAAGAACATCTGAAATACACTCAGGTGTTTCCAGTACTTTCTATACACCAAAGTTGCAAAATATTCAACACTATTTGATCTTTAAAAATTTCAATTTAAACTGAAACGCTACTGAGTGCTGATTGGTTGGCGAGCTGGTCAGCTCATTGGCTGACTGAAGCGGTTCGCTCTCACCGACATCATCAAGCACCGTTACTCAGTGCCATAAATGGAATTTAAAAGCACTCAAAAATATAACAGCAGTGAAATATTTTATGCTGTTCTGCAAAAAACAGAATTTTAGGATTTTGCCCCAATTTTCTCCCCAATTTAGTCGTTTCCAGTTCCACCTACTAGTTAGGACTCCCCCAATCACACAATACTACCAGTGCTGGGAGGACGAAGGCTAACACAGGCTTCCTCCGTCACCTGTGAAGCACCATTGCATCTTTTAGAACTGACGTTAACGCAACGTCATTGGACAGCTGAACTCGCTCGCAGGAAAGCACCAACCGCCAGATCGGTTACACCAGCTAACAGACACCTGCGCTGACTAGCATCACGCTGAGTGATGGGGGGAGAGGGGGGAGAGGGGAGAGGGGTCTGTGATGAAGCGTTTATGAATTATTTTGCACAAAAGCTCCATGTGAACACACTCGTTTTGGACTTGCTCAGGAGAGCCTTCTAGCGTCAAACCTAGAAGACATCATATAGTGGTAATTCTCCTCACTACACATTCTCTGACGTCCACGGAATTTCATTAAAACGAGAAATAATCATACCAACGTGTCCATAGCCAACGACATTTTTCGCCCTGTCTCCCAGACGCTCCCTCATGTGAGTGACCAAGTCATAGATCTTCTCCACGGGCAGGGAGATGTCGTACTTGTAGGTGTATCCGTCGTTCCTCAGAGCCTCAGTGATCCTCTCCCTCATAGACCAAAGAGTCTGCAGTATACAATACAAAATAAATACAAATAATAAATATTAATAATAATAATAATAAATACAAACAAAAACAGAAAGCTGCAACTTATAAATCTACGTGGGTCTGTACTCGAACAAAAAACAGTACAATATAAGTGATGTTTTATCTTATCAACTTCATTGTTTCAGATAAATATACACTCCATCTTTAAAAATAATGTTCTTCAGCCAGAGGTAGCAATAATTTAAGGCATTTCAGTCTCTACGCATAAAGAGCAAGGCTGAAACCACAACTGGATGGCTGAAACTTTTATTTTTACTGCTTCCAAACTTCCAAACTGGACTGCAACATCGACTCACTAGCTCAGAATTAGAGATACCTTTATTTTTGCCTCTTCTGTCGCAACCGTGCCGTCCGTAACCAGTGACGACGTCATGACTTTATCTAAGAAGTTGTGAAGTTTCTCTTCGTCGTGGGCAGCGTTCGACCCAGCGGTCTCGATGACGATGTAGAAGGGACTCTCTGAAAAACAAAACCTGTTCTGAATCTCATCTGTTTTCCTTACACACATGAAAACTCAGGAGCAGCGGAAAAGGTGGTAATTTCAGAAACCACCTGTAGCAGAGTCCAGCAGCATCGTTCCTAGGTCAGTTTTTTTTAGTGATTTAACATACAGTTCTCATATACTCTGAGACTAAAATACAGGGGTAATGATGATGATGTGGGATGATTAGTTCATTGAGTTCAACAGCTACTCAAATGCAGGTCAAGTTTAAATACTTTTTTATAGGTATTTTGACTTCAGTTGCAAGGTCAGACTGTCAGTGTGTACAGAAGTGACTACATGTATTATGAATAAAAGTCATTCTAAAAAACATTAATGTGTTCTATTGGCTCCATTAGGTGCATAGTGCTTGGACCCCGATGATTGCCACTTGCAATATAGACGGTCATTTAGCTCTGACAGCAGTTACGCCACGTCTACAGAGGTACATGTGTTCTATCAGTTTCAGATGGATAGAAAAATGGAACCTGACTGTCTTCGTTGCAAACAATGACAATTTACACATTCATCTTTTTTTTGCCCACCATTCGAAAGCTATTGAAGAAAGACGTCCGAAATTGAAAGGGACAACATCTTGGTTCTGACTGGACAATGAAAACTGAATACTGTATCTGTGGGTTGGCTGATGCGACTAAACAGCTGAAGTCCACTGTGCTGAAATGGACATAACAGAGCAAAGAAAACACTAAAATCTACAGAACCAGGAATGAGACTGTATTTACCATAATGTAGAATAATGCAAGGAAGCGAGAGGGCAGAGTGTGAATATCTGTCCAGTCTTCGCTGTCCAGCCTTACATATAAGCAATGTGGAACCCTCTGGGCCTTCCAGGCTTTCAGAGCAAGCCTAATGATTTCTGAGAACTCTATATAGTTTATAGTGCAGTTTGTTTTTATTTAATTGAATCAGTCAGCTTCTAGTATTGTTGTGATACTCTTATTTCACTGTTAAGCTTTGGCTTGGGAACAGAAGTCATTTGAAATGCCCGACGGTAAATTATCCAATCAGAATTTATTTCTTTGTGGTATCTTGGTAGACAGCCAAGCGAGTTTCCCCATTGGTTAGAACCTCAGGGGCTGAACTGAAGGTCTTGTACATTAGATTAACTACCAACATAACTGGATAGTGGAATCAACCAGTCATGTTTTGATGTACAATAGGTAGGATCAATTTCATGAGGCAAAAAAACCATATTGGAAGTTCTAGATACGTCAATGACTGTGAATACAAGCTGTAGTCTAACCGGGTTTCCTTGCATTATTCTACATTATGGTAAATACAGTAAATGTTCAAATACAGTAAATACAGTAGACTTTAGTGTTTTCCTTGCTCTATTAATTGTTAATCAGCTGTTTAGTCAGATCAGCCAGGACTCTTTACTGAAGAATTCACTGTAAAACTGAGGTAAAGGTAGAATATATGTTAATATGTTACATTATGATCAACTAAAACATGAGATATTTTACAAGCTCCAAATATCTGTGTTTAATCTACAATGACCTAAAATGTTTATGCGCATCAGTGTTAGCTTAGTGCTAACATACTATTAGATATCCTATAGAGGAGCTAGTAGAAATTAGCATTATTGTAGTTTTTTTCTCAGTTTGTGAACAACTTTTTGATATTTATGGCCTGAACTAAAACCTAGCTGTAGCTTGGGCTGAACGATTTGTGGAAAATGTCTAACTGCAATTTTTCCGACAAATATTGCGACTGGGATTTGCGTTTTTTTTGTTTTGTTTTTTTTAATTGAGATTCTGAGGCTCGACCCCTGAACATAGTGTATCAAACTGCCAGTAAGTTGTGGTTGTGATGTCACAACACATGGAGGTTTTGTTGCCTCTGATTGGTCTAACTCACCTACAGGCAGTTCACAAACTCTAACTAGGTTCTGTTTCCCCTCTTAAAACTTAAAAAAATGTTTTTGCTAATGTACCCACATAATAAAGATGGTTCTCCAAGAGTTCTTTAATAAAGACAATGATTCTAGAACCATAAGGACTCAGCAACACATTTGCATGCATGAAAAGTTCTCTGCTTGTTGAAATGGTTCTTCAGATTGATAGAGAATGTGATGTATGTGGTTCTATACAGAACCTTTTTGAAAAGAGTTCTCTACAGGACCAAAATGTTCTTCAATTGTTATAAGCTTAACATCAACAAGCAACAAAGTAATAGTACCAACCCTTTTTGATGCTATACAGAACCACATACAACACATTCTCCAATCTGAAGAACCATTTCACCATGGAAAGAACTTTTCATGCATGCAAATGGGTCTGAGTGTTCAAGTTCTGTGTAGAATGACTGTGTTTATGAAAGAACCATCTTTTTTAAGAACCTTGAAGAGCTACATTTTTAAGAGTGTAGACTATAATTAAAGAAAATTGCAGCTCTTGCGATTTGAAAATTGCACTGTCCTAAATTGCGATTTCGATATAAAAAGGATGAATCTTTCAGCCTCAGCTGTAGCTGTAATCATCAATGTTCAGCACTGTATGTGAGGCGAGTAGAGCAGTTACACAGTTCGGTTAAGTTTAGTTATCATTAGTTGACAAGGCTGATTAGCCATCAATGTGAATTATGGATAAACCAAAGGCTTCACGTAACTTAAAAACAAAAGCACTTCATAATCTTCTCTAATGTTCACCATTATGATGGACAGTTATACACTATGCGAAGTGTAGGGGGCGATATATCTTCTATTGTTGCACCATAACAAAAGTGAGCAAAAACAGCACAAGGCATAATAGTTTTATGAGGCCGTTAATTATGTAACATGAGCTTCCGCATTACTCCTGTACCAGTGATGGGGTTGGTGAGCTTGAGATGTTTCACCAGCAGGCTCATGCAGGAGGCGTCCAGGAACTCGAAAGCAGAGAGGATTTCTCCCAGCATGCCCCCGGCAGGCCTGAAACGTCTCCAGCAGGTTCTGGAAGCTGGAGCACCCTGCAGGAACCAAGCAGTACTCATGTAATGTTCTGAAATATATGCTGGAATATCTAGTATATATTAAGAAATACATATTGGAACATCCTTTAGAACAAAGAACCGAATGCTTCAGTGAGACACTGAGAGGGTAAAGCACCTAAAAAGGCTACGTTGACCGATTTGGGTTTATGAGGGCACAGGATGGACACAGCAGTGATGACCCCAAGTGTTCCCTCAGAACCGATGAAGAGCTGCTTCAGGTCATAGCCAGTGTTGTCCTTACGTAATGTAGCCAGACAGTTCAATACCCTGCCATCAGCCAGCACCTAGAGACAGGACATAGCAGTGTTATTAATGGTCATTATGGTCCAGGGCAGGGGTTCCCAACCACCAGGCGTCAGACTGGTACCAGGGCTGTGGATTGTTTGATATGGGGCTGAAACAGTGTGTCAGTGAGCAGGGTGAGTAATCCACTGTTTTATTATTATAATTAGCGTAATTAATATTATTATGATGGTCTTTTTTATTTTCAAATTAAATGTTCAGGAATTTTAAGCATATTGTCATACATCACACTGTGTTTGATCTCATGAGTGCATGCAGGTTATTACTGTTTTCAGATGAAGGCTGATGAAAGTAAAGAAGTAAATAAAAATAAATAAACCAATTTAGGAAACGTTTGCTTATTTATCTTCCCACAACATACAGTGAACTACTACAATACAGGCAATACAAAGAGGCATGGATGGACTGACCACCCCAGAGTCCATACCTCAACATCAGTGAATGTGTCTGATTACTGACAGTGGACACACTGAATACTGAAAATGTGGTATTATATTTAGCTGTTAAGGTTTTTGTGTAAATATATGTTCACTGCTTTTTTCACAAAACTGAAAAATGAATAACTTATTCTTGTTGTGGCTGTTTTTACTGGAAATGAAATAACTGAAGGGTGGTCTCTGACTTTTGTACAGTACTGTATCTGGGGCTGAAAGATTAATTGTTTTATATTGAAATCCCAATTAGAAAGAGTGCAATATTCAAATCGCAAGAGCTGCTCTACATTATCACTAACAAGTTGTAAGAGGGGAAATTTAAGCAAATAACACAGTTTGCTGTGACATCATAAAACAACTAACTGGCAGTCTGGCGTAGTACATTCAGCGTTCCAGCTTCATTCTGGAAAAAGTGGAATTTCTGGTCTTTCTGGCCAAAAAAAAGGCCTGGATGTAAATTTATCGCTGTTGTCGGAAGAAAACCTTTTTCAGTTTTTGACATGATTTGAAAATACCTTTACATTGTGTGTAAATTTCATGATGAATGGACCAAAAGAAACGACCCAAAATGACTTGGAAAAAAGTCTGGTGCCATCGACTTACATTAAAAGTAAAGTACGTTTTTCCTTCTCCTGTAAAGTTACCATTTTGGAGATACGAGGTTTTCTTCAGCAGCGATATAGAAAAGAATTACAATTTAAATCGCACTTGCAAAATTGGAAAATGATCAGAAATATATTTTTCTCAAATCGTTCAGCCTTAACTGTATATGTTGATGCCAATGCATAAACATTTATAAAGCTTAGAAATTCTCTAACAGAATTACAGAGAAATATAACAAATAAAGGGTTTCAGATTATTTAAATTACGGGTTGAGAGAAAATCCTCTTCCTCATTCTGTCTCTGGAAAAACTGACCATTTTGTGTAGTTTACTGATTTATTCATAACATGTATGCTGTGGCTGCTCTCGGGTCACTCATGTTGGCTGCGTTGCCTTTTCGCTAGAAGGCTCACTCACCACTTCCAGGCCCAGAACTGTCCCTCTGAGGGAGCCGTAGCGCAGAAGCCGCAAGCCACCCGCATTGGTGGACACGTTCCCCCCGATGTGGCAGCTGCCCTTCGCCCCGAGGTCCAGCGGCATGATGAAGTCTCGCTCCTCCAGATACTGAGACAGACTCTCCAACACGCAGCCAGCCTGACACGTCAGGATACCTGTTACAGCACACAGGTAAAGCAATAGTTCAGATATTTACTGGAACTACGAGGCTAACGTTGCTAATGAACACTAGAAGTCAATAGTCACCCAAATAGCCCAAATCGTTTCTGTAAAAATGCTTACAGAGTGGGTAGATAAGATGAAACTGTGGCCTGAACAGCCGTGTATGCTTGACATGTCATACAAAATGATTTGCCTTTTTTTTTTGATTATTTATGTCAGAACGTCATTTTTTGCTACAATGTAGTGAGAATACAATATTTTGTCGCCGTCCAAAGGAAAACAAGTATCTCCAAAAAAGGCAACTTTACAAAAGAGGGTGAAAACTTTCTTTACTTCTAATGTAAAGTTAATGCAAAGAGATTTTATTCCATGCAATTTTTGGAGCATTTTATAGGTCCATTCATTCAGCTTCTGTGCTCAAATGATGTAGAACAAAAATGGAGATGCGTGATTTTCTTTGGACAGTGACGATCAACCCACTGATGCACACCCTGCTCACTCAGGTGAACTTTAACTCATTCAAATCTCAGGCTTATTACATACTTAGGCTTATTATTCAGTAACTACAGGGACTTCAATGCAAACCGGCTGAGCTATTTTTATGTTATAGAAGTGTGTAATAAAACCTTAGGCCTTGGCCTTTTAAGGGGTTTTAAACAAGACCTGGATGTGATTTGAGCGGGTTGAAGGAAGTTCTGTGTATTTTTACAGAAACGATCTGGGATATCTGGGTGACTACTGACTTCTAGTGTTTGTTAGCAATGACCGGCTTGTAGCTCCAGTTCTAATGCCTTGGTTGATCGGCAACATCTGGGTTAAGTGGAAAACTGTGACGGTTTGATTTTTCACAGAACCCTTCCTTTAAACTCTGAAGAGCCATAAGTGAGACCAGACTTACTCTCTTAACTACATATCATCCATAAAAGCTTCATAGTGGTTACTGAATAGATCACGTTGTAAAACAGATCCAGTTCTAAAATCTGATTGGCTGAGCCAGACTAAGAACTATCGTAAAATACTCAATATACTCACAAATGCACAACTGGATTGTGTTCCTGGAGTAACCTTTGCTCGTTATTTTGCTTGGCATTTGCTTTTGCATTGGTTCATTTTTTTAATGGAGACAAGTGGAAGTGCGAATGATTGTTTGAATGGCAGTGTAGTGAAGCCAGTTTCTTCTCTTGGTAATTAAGCAGTTTCTAAGGAAGAATTCTTAAGTTTATGCAAACTGAAAGATGTAGCATTATTACAACAAGAGGAAAAATGGCAAAATAATAAATTAAAGTCAGAGACTTCGGGTTGGGAGTTTTTCCCGACCACGTCATACATCTTTACGTATAAACGTCCCATGCACAGTCTCAATGAGAAGGTCCGGCTCGATGTTTAGGTCTCAAAAGCAAAATCAACATTATACTGAAGAAGATATGATGACAATAGTGGACAATTCACTCACATCCTTGGAAGAAACGTCCCTCACCAAGTTTTGACTGAGTTCTCTGTAAATACTCTTTCAAGATACTTGTAATCATGAAGATTTATCTGCTCACAATGTGTGCAATTACACGCTTCCACCAGAGGGGTCTCCAAATCCCCAAATCTTACACAGTGCAGCTTTAAGTTTGTGCAAACTTGCTAGCGGCCAATCAGGCACGGCAAGCGTTTTCTTCAGGTGTCATATGGTAAAAGCAGTGTTGAAAATATTAAAAGTAATGTTTTCAAAATGCATACAAACAGTGAGCAGAAGATAAAAGCATTTTTTATTTTTAAAAACAATATTGCGAATCATCCTATAACCCTAAATGCCTCAGCTATCTGTCTAAGAGAGGATGCCCACCCCTACCCCCCCATCGAGTGTAACGATAGCAAACGAGAATTAGCACTTAGCATTCTCCACCCAGCATGATGAGCTCTCTCATGATGTTTAAAAGGATGTCTGGCTTGACAGGACTTGGAGAAAGCACATGCTAGCCTTCACCCTCCTAGCTGGGTAGCATCATGTGATAGAGGGGGACCTGGTTAGCAGGAACTGGACACGACTAAATTGGGAAAAAACTGGTTTAAAAATATAAAGTAAAGGAGATGATTTGAGTCGTTGTAATGAAAGTGGAGCATAAACATACAGACATACCTGAGATGCCGTCGAAGGTTAGGATCTGGTTCATGAGGGCGGTGGACAGGATGATCTCATCAAACACAGGAACGCTGCCTCCCACCAGCCCAGTGTTGCCACCCTGAGGACTCACTGCCAGGTTCCGCTCGTTACAGTACCTGGAGCGAGTACAACAAACTAAAATACGACTGACGGCTAGTGTTTATGGACAAAACAGCAAAGTAAATGATACCTGAGTATCTGAGAGACCTCGTCTGTAGTCTTGGGTCTTAACAGAACTTCACTGTTACCTGTACACAAAAAAGTTATGCATCTCATTTCATATTTTCTTAAAACAGAATTTAATTCTGCATAATTAATTATGTGAGATGTAAACAAAGTTAATGGTGGTGACAGGAATCAGCTACAGTGGTAGACATCCAAACCACAGCCAATGTATTTATCAACCATGCAAGTCCCTTTTATTTATTATCCAAAACAGCCAGTGAACCTAAACGTGCATGGTTTTATATGTAACGTTGATCATGGTCCAAAAAACCACATCATATCAGACGTCAGGCACCTGTATAACTTTCTGTGAGGGAGACTTTAAAGACATTAGACTCTTCAGACGTCCGGTTCCTATCACCACCACTGTGGACGATTTAGTTTCTCTAGAATTTTAATGACTTCAAATGACTTTGTTTACATCTTTAACAATTTAATTATGCAGAAATTTTGGAAAATCAACGGATCACTCAGCACAAATCAAATGTAAACAGTTGCCCGGTTACACCAAACGCATGTGGATCAGTCAAACCGTGGTGTCTGAACTTTGCCTCTTTAGGTTTGCGCTGAAGCTGTGAGGCTAACGTAGCCGACAAATAATGGAAGCTTTTTTAATTAGCATGTCTGAACTCTAAAATAGACCTGCTTATGTGGTTTCTGACACTGTATGGTATACAGGCATCTATCTGTACAAAAGGAGGGACAAAGCTCAGGCCTCCAGATGGCTGCTACGACTATTTTGTTAGCAATGTGACAAACCACTATCTATAAAAATGAAAAATAGTATGTCATACAATGTTAAGCGCAAAAGTGGGAGTAGCATTTCTGAGTCAAAAGGGAAAAAACATGCTAAATCATGGTGTGGGTGCACTGCTGCGAGTCACCCTAAAAGCCTGCAGTAATCATTTTAAAGTCAGAGGCGTCGGGTCGGGAGTTTTTCACAACACATAACATCTCTTTACATGTTAAGGTCATAGACACAGGCTCAAAAAGATGGTCCAGCTCGATGTTTAGGCCTCAAATGCAAAATTAACATTATATTGATATATATTATATTGCTTTCATCTTGAGTTATGACTGAGTTCTCTTTCAGCATGTTCGCAATCATCGGATTCATCTGCTTGGGGAAGGGGGCCGAAGCACAACCCACAGTACAAAATGTTTTGTGCAATTACACAAATCCACCAGAGAGGTCTCCAAATCCCCAAAACAGACCTAGTGTAGCTTTAAGTACATACAGGTAGGAGTGCTAAGCACATTATTATTAATAGATAACCCGGACATCCTCATACCCACCTTTCACTGACTTCAGCCAGTCAACATTGCTGGACTCCAGCACGTCTGGGTCCGTGATGGCCCTCCCCGGCAGCAGCTGTCTGAAGAAGTCCAGGTCACCTGGGGTCACCTGAGAAAAAGGCCTCCGAGGGGGAGCAGCATCTGAGGCCTCGGATCCTCCACCGTGGACACATCTATGCTGGATCCACCCTGCTGACCGCAGCAGTGGGCCTCTCTCAGGTGCCCATGAGTGCGTTGGACACAGAGCTGTGGTGTACTGCAGGAATCTGGACGCAGACTTCAGCCGGGTGAATCTCTCAAAGATGGCCATGACTGTGAGGGATAAAGGTGAAGGAAGCAGGTCAGCAGTTACAGACACAGACGTCTAACTTCAAACATGGGGATGTTGATCAGTTTACTCAGTTACATGAAACTGAGGACAATTTTAAAGGAATAATTCATTTTCTACTAAAGTGTATCTGACCCTTCTGGGTCGCGGTGGGGTGCTGGAGCCAATCCCAGCTGTCATTGGCCGAAAGGCTGGAGATATATATATATATATACATATATATATATATATGTGTGTGTGTGTGTGTGGGTATAGATGGTTCTTCAAGGAAATGGTTCACTATAGGTCCTACTATAAACCCTATAAAGGGTTCTTCAGATTGATTGACAATGTGCTGTAGGTGGTTTTCAAAAGGGTTCTATATAGCACCAACAACGGTTCTGCTACTGTTTTGATGCCAAGCTTGTAGCAACAGAAGAACCCATTTTGGTGCTACATATAACGCTTTCGTGAAAGGTTCTATATAGAACCATATACAACACGTTCTCCATCAATCTGAAGAACCATTTCCCCATGCAAAGAACCATTTAAGCATGAAATGGTCCTATATAGAACTCAGGGTTCTGAACAGAACCATCTTTTTTAAGAGTGTAGCAATTTCGAGCTTCATATTCGCCTCACCAGCTTCTAGTTCGAACTTTTCCGTTCCACCTTAAATGGTGCAGCAGTGACGTTCTGCTGAATGCTGTACAGGGGTCAGAATGTCGCCGGCGCACCGTTTAAGGTGGAACGGAAAAGTTGGAACAAGACGCTGGTGAGGCGAATAAGAAACGGACTTCAGCCGTGTAGAAAACCGTGTCACAGCCGTCAAAACCGCTCATCCATTATTTTGTACACGTAATGAACGTCATGGACTCGATCTTAACCCAGTTAGAGCCTCCTGATAACCTCTGTATCAGACAGCCGCCCCCGCTGAAACCCTGCAGCTCCGCAGGCACTCTGACAACAAACCAGTGGCTGCGTTCCAATTTGCATACGTGCGCTCTAACTAGGGCGCCAGTGAACTTGACCGATTTTTCTTTTAGAAATGGGATTAACGTTACCGAGATGACCCGTGCTGCTTCAGAAATGACAGCTACAATGACATTCACTTGATGCTGTGCGCTTTTAGAAGGGTTTAAGGTCAGTGCTGTTGAAAATAAAACGCGGTCCTGTAGTTTTCGTGTAATGTTTACCTTCGTTTTCCCGCTTGTTTATAGTAGCTCACCAGTTGGCTGCACACAACGAGGAAGACGAACTGCGCCCTGGCTGCAGTAGTGAACCGTGAACCATAGTGAAAAGTGTACCCTAACTAGGGAACTGAACGACAATTGGAACACAAGCGATGTCGTGTCTCTCTCCTGCTTTAACGTACTCTTATTGTTACTGAACGTAAACATCGCCACCTACCGTATTGGAGCAAACGTTTGAAAGGGAACTCCACCGCTTTTTCAAAATTTGTAATTTTATAATAATATAATATTCAGAGTGGTTTGGTGTGTAAAATGCTCTGTTCTGAAGAAACTCACAGAGCCCGAACTGTCCACAGTGGTGGTGATAGGAACCAGATGTCCACCTCTAAAAGCTCCCTCACATAAAGTTATCACACAACATGGTTATGAGGACTCAGCCACATGTCTGAGTTTTGTGATAACGTTTAATCAATTTGTTTTGATCTATTTATGGTGGAGGGATAGATGAAGGGTGTTCTGAAGCAGAACAGACCCCAAAGAAAGATATTCCACTTTTTTTATCATCATCAACGTTACTTTTAGCTCGGAAGACACGTGTAGGTTCAACTGGTGGTTTTAGATAGTAAATAAAATGGCTATATTTGTGTTGTAGTCATGACCACCCCTGGTTCCCATCACCACCACTGTAAAGAAATCAGAATCTGTAAGTTTCTCTAACTTTAAACACAGGTATGTAATCAGTTTACTCAGTTACATGAAACAGAAATAATTTTACAGGAAAAATTCATTTATACTGTATCTGTGATGGATGTAGTTCACTTTTATTCCACAATATTCCATAATTCCTACACACACACACTCTTAAAAAAGATGGTTCTTCAAAGAAATGGTTCTCTATAGGCACTATAAACCCTATAAAGGGTTCTTCAGATTGATTGAGAATGTACTGTAGATGGTTTTCAAAAGGCTTCTATATAGCACCAACGGTTCTGCTACTGTTTTGATGTCAAGCTCAGCCAGATGTCTGAGTTTTGTGATAACGTTTTGGCCTGAAGTGTATTTTAATCAATTTGTTCTAATCTATTTATGGTGGAGGTCTAGTTGAAGGCTGTTCTGAAGCAAAACAGACCCCAAAGAAAGATATTCCACTATTTAACCAGCATCAAACATTACTTTAAACTCAGAAGACTCGTGTAGGTTCAACTGGTGGTTCTGGGTAGTAAATAAAATGGCTATATTTGTGTTGTAGTCATGGCGACCCCTGGTTTCTATCACCACCACTGTAAAGAAAGAGTTTAACAGTGAACCATTTAGCAACAAACCACTCTGAATGGCTCTGTTTACATCTCAAATCACTGAATTAGACAGACATTTTGAAATACTGGTGGAGTTCTCCTTTAATAGACCGAAGCATTTCGGCTTCCTTATCTTCACTTCATTAGTCTTTTTTATAAAAGCATCAAACAACAATATAATCTGATCACAATTCTGTTTTATTAGATAAAGATGAAAGCTAGTGCTTTAATCACTAAAGCTCTTATAACTTCATTAGAAAAGTGGTACGTCTGAAAACTCCCAAATCAAGCTGGGTTTCAATCAGTCAACTGTGTTAAAGGGGAATTTAGAGTGGTTTGATGTGAAACGCCTCATTGTAGAGACTCTAATTTCCTTACAATGGTGGTGAATGGAACCAGGGGTCACCATGTCTACAACACAAATATACATTTTATTTACGCTCCGAACCCACCAGCGAACCTACAGGCGTATTCTGAGGTTTCATATGTGATCATTATGGTGGTGAAATAGCATTTAATCCGCAAAAATACAAATAGAAGCCGTATTCCTCCATCATGTGTGGCTTTCAAAAATGTGTTTTAGGCCAAAATCCTCTCAAAACTACTGTAAACAAAATCTCAGACATCAGGCAGCACTTATATGTAATCATTTCATGTAATAACCTCCTGTGAGGGAGCTTTTAGGCATTAAACTCTTCAGACGTCTGGTTCCTATCACCACCACTGTGAACGGTTCTGACTCTAAGTTTCTCTAGAATGGAGCATTTCACACCAAACCACTCTGGACGACTCTGTTTACATCTTAAACATTTAAATATGCAGAAATGCAGAAAAATCCTCGATCCAGCTTTTAATCAGAATCAGTTTACTGTTCATACAATCTAGTCTGGGAACAGCTGGACAACAAGCTGTTCTGTAACTTTATAAATGCTGTACTTTATGAACATCATAAAGTAAAGGGCAAGGATTTACATTATCAATGGTTCATTCTCCATTTATCAAAGCCATTTCAATCCCAAAGTCCTCATTATATCTTCAGCAGCAGCATTTCCACCTCGCAGTGTCATCAGAGTTTGCCCCGATGTAGAACTTCAGAAGGTCCTTCAACAGAACTGGAGCAGATGAGCCCAAACGCTGTGGGTTATACCGGTTTCACTCCGGTGGGGTTCTTTAGGGAGGTGTTTAGAACATGACTTGGGCTCTGAAGTGAGCCTGCTTGGTGACGTTGTTGTTCACGCTCATCTTCAACATCCACTTGGACTTCATCCTCTGCACGTACTGCATGTCCTTCTGCTGCTGGCTCACAAAGCCTTTACCTGAAATACACAAAGCGACAGCACCTTTAAAGAGCTACGGCAACACAGTTCAAGTAAGAAGCAGATACTTGTATTATATAATAAAGCAGGATTTCTCAGATTTTTCAAAATTTCTGCATAATTAAATCAATAAGATGTAAAAAATAATTCAGAGTGGTTTGGTGTGAAACGCTCAGTTCCAGAGAAACTTAGAGTCTGAACTGTTCACAGTGGTGGTGATAGGAACCAGACGTCTGAAGAGCTTTATGTCTCTGAAAGCTCCCTCACTTAAAGCTATTAGACCAAACGCTTTTGAATATGTTGCCTGAAGCCGGAGACACTGTTTTATGATACTTTTGAGATACAGTTTTGGCCTAAAGCATTTATTTTTTAAATTCATTCATAGTGGAGAGGTGCATGGAGGCTGTTGTGAGGCAAAATAGCAAAATAGTCCCCAAAGAAAACTTCTCTCCAAATTTACCACTATTTTACCATCAACATATAAAAACTTAAGCTGTGTAAGTTCGCTGGACATTTCTGACAGTAAATAAAGTGACTAGCGTAGATACCGTGACTCCTGGTTCCCTGTGACCACCACTGTGAAGAATCAGAGTCTGTAAGTTTCCATACGATGAACCATTTCACATCAAACCACTCAATGCTTTTGTCTCAACGTCTAATACGAGCCAAAAAGTTTTCACACCTGTCCAAATATATCTTTAAATGGGTCTTAGCCAAACACGGCCAGGCATTTTAGATACAATAAAAAATAAAAAAACAGTTAATTTGCCCACCATCTCTCAATATGCTATTTCCTCTAATATAGAAATAAATAATCCCAATCCCAAATAATCTGTCCACATCTGTCAGACCTGTGCAAGCAAACCACACTAACTATATTAGCTTCATTCACTGTTAACCACGTCTGCATTTTTTGGGTAAAGCGTAATTTTGCTGGGCCAGATTGTTCTTTAACATTTGTAAAGAATTTAATATTCATTTTTAATTAACATCAGCTCAGCAAAGCTGTTGAACAGTGAGGGAGGTGAAGCTAATTTACAGCTGAAGCCAAAACGGAGCTCCTAAAATAGGCGAAAGCTTAATCTGAAGCTGAAATACACAGCTGAGCGGAAATGACATCGTTAGCTAATTCGTGTAGTGATTGTGTGGTGTGAAGAACATGAGCCCCGTCAGACCACTGATGATGTCAAACCCCACACACGGTGCTGGATTGCAATGAAATCCACAAGCAGATAACCTAGCTAGCAAAATGCTATCAATAGCTAAAAATAACTGTTTTTCCTTTTTCAAGATGTTTTTATTTTTACCACATTTAACGTGTTCTCCGCACACGCCTACATTCCTGACTTGAGTTTTTTGGGGGACTTTTCAGCCACGTTAACATACGTTACATGCATTAGCTAACGACAGGCTGACTGTTCGTCAGACAATACTGACCAGCACACCGTCGCCCCCTCCTGTGAGCTCCACCTTCGTGAGGTGTTCAGTTGGTTTACAGATTTCTCCACCCAGGGGTTCGTTCCCACCCAAGCCTACACTCTCACCCACATTTAGCTCAGAACGTCTCCTGCCTGTCTCCAGACGTTCTCATCACGAGATCATATCTGACCTCGTGAGACTCGGCAAAGTGTTTCTTGAAAGTGGTGTCATCATCATGATGCAGCCACGCATCAAGTTCCTTACCAGACTCTCCTCCCCAGCCCAGGGCCCGGTACTGTTTCAGGACTCGTCCCACTGCCCGCTGGTTGTGGGCCACAACCACTGCCCTCTGCGTCCCGAAACGCTGCTTATAGTAGCGCATCAATGAACGATGGCCAATCTTAGCCCCTGCAAACAGAAACAAGCTTGAGAACAGAAACCAGTAACAGTATAACCAGAGGTGTGTAGAGCAGCTTAAAATCAATACTCGAGTTAAAGTATTCGGAACTTAGGTGACACTTTCACTTAGAAAATGAACAAAACGTGAGCTTCTTCCCACAAGCCATCACTCTTGAACAGTTAAAATATTACACAGAAACAATATTCCAGCTTCAAACTGCACTTCATAAATACTGGTATAGTATCTAATTCAACTCCATCCTCTGGAACTGCCGCCTCAAACCAGTGTTTATTCTAGCATCTTACTTACCTGCCTTATTACCCCACTTATCAGACTGTTACCTCACTTACCTGCCTTATTACCCCACTTATCAGACTGTTACCTCACTTACCTGCCTTATTACCCCACTTATCAGACTGTTACCTCACTTACCTGCCTTATTACCCCACTTATCGGACTGTCACCTCACTCTTTCTCTGCCACTATACACCCTTTAACTGCTGCTGCACTCAGCACTTTAACTTTAGACCCACACTTTGCACAATGTAAGGTTTACAGGTAGGACTGTGTGTGTGTGTTTGAGTGAGTGATGGTAGGAAGGCATGTTTTATTTTATTTTTTTATATTTTATATTTATTTAATTTTATTCACTACATGTAAATGTCTGTCTGGTACTGTGCACTGTGAGCTCCTGTAACCAAAACCATATTCCTTGTTTGCGTAAGCATACCTGACCAATAAAGCTTGATTCTGATTTGACCGGGGACATCCAAACTTTTGCATACAAGTGTACCTACTCTGATCAGCCACAACATTCAAATCCTTTCCTTGTTTTTACACTGTCCATTTTATCAGCTCCACTTACTATATAGGAGCACTTTGTCTGTAATTGTAGAACTACACTAACACACCACCACCACCACATCAGTGCCACTGCAGTGCTGAGAATGACCCACCACCCAAATAATACCTGCTCTACCCTGGTCCTGTGGGGGTCAGGGTAACAGAGAAACAGATGGACTACAGTCTGTAACTGCAGAACAACAAAGTGCTCCTATATGGTCAGTGGAGCTGATAAAATGGACAATGAGTGTAGAAACAAGGATGCTTTTAACGGAGTTACAAACAGATCCATAAGTCATTCCTCAAACAGTACAATACCCGTACCTGACGGCAGCGTGAGCTCTAGTGTTTCATCATCAAACTCCACCGTCTTCCCTTCAGGCAGCTCTCCGTCCTTCATCTCAACGTCGTCTCCCTCTTTAGCATCCGGGTAGCTGCTCCTAATCGCAAACACAAACACAGAACTGTCTCAGAACAAGCTGCATTACTCTTACCACAAATAAATCCTGATTCTATCAGCATCTGAAATAAATCCTTCCTGTTCTACAAAACTAGAGTCTTATATCACAGAGCTCATTTAGGGTTCAGTAAAGGTAGCACCATGCTCTATCAAAGAGCATTAAGTTCACTGGTCACTAACTAATGATTCTAGCACTGTGATAGCCTAAGCAAGGAAAAACAAAAGAGAGATTCTCTGCCTCGGCATGGTCTCAAATGCCTCGCTCGGTATTCTTGAATCTCATGACGTATTATAGGAGAAAACCCAGGGTGTTAGCAAAGGCAGGCTGCACCAAGTACTACATTCAAAGGTGCCAACAATTGTGACACATACACTGATCAGCCATAACATTATGACCACCTCCTTGTTTCTACGCTCATTGTCCATTTTATCAGCTCCACTTACTATATAGGTGCACTTTGTAGTTCTACAGTTACAGACTGTAGTCCATCTGTTTCTCTGCATACTTTGTTAGCCCCCTTTACCCTGTTCTTCAGTGGTCAGGACCCCCATGGACCCTCACAGAGCAGGTACTATTTGGGTGGTGGATCATTCTCAGCACTGCAGTAACACTGACGTGGTGGTGGTGTGTTAGTGTGTGTTGTGCTGGTACGAGTGGATCAGACACAGCAGCTGCTGGAGTTTTTAAACACCTCAGTGCCACTGCTGGACTGAGAATAGTCCACCTACCAAAAATATCCAGCCAACAGCGTCCTGTGACCACTGATGAAGGATGACCAACACAAACTGTGCAGCAGCAGATGAGCTATCGTCTCTGACTTTACATCTACAAGGTGGACTGACAAGGTAGGAGTGTCTAATAGAGTGGACAGTGAGTGGACACAGTGTTTAAAAACTCCAGCAGCACTGCTGTGTCTGATCCACTCGTACCAGCGCAACACACAAACACACCACCACCACGTCAGTGTCACTGCAGTGCTGAGAATGATCCACCACCCAAATAGTACCTGCTCTGTGAGGGTCCATGGGGGTCCTGACCACTGAAGAACAGGGTAAAGGGGGCTAACAAAGTATGCAGAGAAACAGATGGACTACAGTCTGTAACTGTAGAACTACAAAGTGCACCTATATAGTAAGTGGAGCTGATAAAATGGACAATGAGCGTAGAAAACAAGGAGGTGGTCATAATGTTATGCCTGATCTGTGTATGGTATGGTGCAAAAGTTGTGGATGGTGAGAAGCAGAAAATGCAACCAACATCTAAGACTGAACTTAGAAAATCCCTGCAGAATGGAAGTTAAATTAAAAGGTAATTTGATATTTGTTTTTTTAAATCTTCTGTATATTTTTCCAGAAGAGTGCTTCCTGAGATGTACATAGTTCTGTATGTTTTGTTAAAATGATGTCTTAATAAGGATTTCTAGACTACACTTTCTTCAATTAAAGATTCCTCATATATTCAGTGCCAGAGCTGATTAATTACAAATTCCTTTTTTCTTATAAGCTTTTTTAAACCCATCTTTACCCAACAATTATAAAGTGGACTACAGTGTGAAGCAACTCATCTGGACCAAGTTAGTGTGTTAATTTGGGGTTATTGTGTCTCGCAAGAGCAAACATTCGGGTGCTAAACTCTTCTGGGCACCTGAAGTCGTAGAAATCGGCGAACTCCAGCGCTGCATCTCCGTCGGTGTAGAGTTTGCAGTGGCTCTTGTCGTTCATGTGCGCCTGCACCGCCTCGGTGGAGTAGAACGATTTGCCTTTTTCATTACACCATAAACACACTTTCCCAAAACCGACCTTCTCTCCTATAAAGAGGAAATGTAATGAATTAGGCAGGAATCCAGGAAGCCAAGTTATTCAAACATAGGTATCGGTGAACAACAGCCGGTGGGGAGGATTTGAGCATCACTCAAGTCTATTATCCATCAATATAATCTATTGTTTTCATTCAAAACCAACACATTTACATATATAATCCTGCTCAGCCTACAGCAGTTTAGCCCCAACCATTTATGCTATAAATTGGGAGTATTTTGGCCTGCTTTTTGACCAAGGCAGGATATGAAGCAGCCAAAAGAGAACTAATTTACATACATCAGTCTTTAAAGGCATAATGACCAAGTGGTCTAAGGCGCTGCGTTCTGGTCGCAGTCTCCCCTGCAGGCGTGGGTTCAAATCCCATTTCTGACACAATGACAACCAGCCTGTTTAATTCTAAGAGATAAGGAGAGGCTGTGAAAGGGTCATGTAAAAATAAATGAGTGTTTTTAGTACATAAACCCACAGAAATATCAGTGGATCTAATTTTAAAAAATTAAATACGTGAAAAATGTAGGACATTAATTTATTCCTTATTTTATTCAATAATAAGTACAGACCAATGATATATTGGCTGGCCGATAAAGCCGCCTGATGACGATAAAGCGATAGAGCTTGATGGCCATCGGTGAAAATATCAGCATTAACGCCCTGATAATTAGCAGCCTTTTTGGTTGCGTCACCGGTTTATGAACCTTAGACCTGAGAATAACATGTAACAAACTACCTTTTTAAAAGAAGAGAACTGATATGAATGAATGAATGAATGAAAGAAAGAAAGAAAATATGAGGCAATTAACAGAAACCAAAAGTGCATATAGTTCTCGTTAACTCCATCCTCAGGGCTAAAATATTTCTATTATTTCTGAGGTACTTATATTAATCAAATAAGTATTAAGTATTATTTATATGACTTATAATTTATTTACACTGTTAATCTAAACTTAATGGAATAAAAAAAATAAAATCTAAAATATTAACATTTAATTTTATCTTCTATTATTTTCAATTAGTGCAATTTTTAGACAGAAATTTTGTATATTGGCCAAATATTGGCCACACACTGGAAAATATTGTTTACTTTTACTTAATGTACTTTAATGTATGTTTAGGGAACAACATAAAAGCTATTTTTAGTTTACTTTAGTAACCTTTAGTACCATGTATCTGGAACAAAATTGGTTTTATACTACTGAAGCAGTTCTTTACAGACTTTTGAACAGTGATGTAAAGCTAGAACCTCCACACTCGTAGTCTTACCCAGATATCTGATGAGGCCCCTCAGGTCCACCAGGTACTCTATGTCAGGGACGAAGAAGCTGTGAGTTTTGGTCATGTGGGTCATGTTCTTGCTCAGCGAGCGGGAGTGGTGAGAGCAGAACAGACAGTCCGTTACAGGAACGGCCCCGGGAGAGGACGCCGACGCAGCCGGACCGTCCTCCTCCTCCATCTGCTCGTCTTCGTCGTCATCCTCCATCTCATCATAGTCATCATCATCGTCATCGTCATTGTCAACATCCTCCCACTCTTCTGAAACAGAGGCTGGATTTCAGTACCAACTTTAATATTGGTTTAACACATAAAACTCTATCTTTATTTGTACAGCATCTCATTTATAGTGTCATACTTTAACACTGTAACTAATAATATACATCTCTCTGTTGCTGTGGCTTTATTTAAAAAAATAAATAAATAAATAAATGAAAAATAAACAAACACCCCTGCAAACATCATCGCCCATAAAAGTATTACACAATGTAAATCCAACGTAAATGCAACTAATCGCGTAGGTAAATTTGTATTTAATTATGTGAGCATATTATTTAAACAGTATAGCAAAACTGGCCGTTCCATTAAGTGCACCTCCTTGTTTCTACGCTCATTGTCCATTTTATGAGCTCCACTGACCACATAGGAGCACTTTGTAGTTCCACAGTTACAGACTGTAGTCCATCTGTTTCTCTGCATACTTACCCTGTTCTTCAATGGTCAGGACCCCCACAGGACCACCACAGAGCAGGTACTATTTGGGTGGTGGATCATTCTCAGCACTGCAGTAACACTGATGTGGTGGTGGTGTGTTAGTGTGTGCTGTGCTGGTACGAGTGGATCAGACACAGCAGTGCTGCTGGAGTTTTTAAACACCTCAAGAGTCTCTGCTGGACTGAGAACCTAAAATATCCAGCCAGCAGCATCCTGTGGGCAGCATCCTGTGACCACTGATGAAGGACTACAGGATGACCAACACAAACTGTGACTTTACATCTATAAAGTGGATCAACAATGTAGGAAAGTCTACAGTGAGTGGACGCAGTGTTTAAAAACTCCAGTAGCACTGTTGTGTCTGATCCACTCGTACCAGCACGACACACACTAATACGCCACCACCATGTCAGTGCCACCGCAGTGCTGAGAATGATCACCTCTGTGGTGGTCCTGAAAGTATTACCATAATAGCAATGATAATAATAATAATAATAATAAAAAACCTACAACTGAAATGATTCTTATTCAATGTTTTACAAATTACACTGCACTAAACCCATTTAAAACAGGCCTCTTATATGCTCACTCTGTAATGAAATGTAGTTAGTTACAGACAATATCCACAATATGCTCCGAAAATGAAAACGAAATATCATACTGGCCAGCCTTAATGTCATTTAATACTAAATTTCAAATACTAAGTAGTCAGCCAACAGGTATGGTTCTTCCAGTATTGAGAGTGCTGGTTGGCTGTCTATAGTGCACTCCATATGCACGTTTATCAAATACATCCAAATACAGCACCTTCTCATTCCTGGTTCAAGCCACACCTACTTTCTGTCTGTAATTTTAAAGAAGTTATTGAAAAAAAATGAATCAGTGTTGAAATCAAGGTATCGGTTAGATGTTACTGCTGCTTCATTTAAGGTGGAATGAAAAATTTCAGAAGCTGGCGAACAGGAAGCCAACATCAGACTTGAAGAGATAACCAGGCTCTACACACGATTCAAGCAGCCGGTAATTGCCGATTCTGACACTACTCAGTTATGGATTCTGCAGTTTGTTAAGCCATGTTAGAAAATCCCCTCTTGCACTCATTTGAGCCAAAAAATGAGACCCAAAAAACACATATAAACAAAAGATCAGATTGTAAATTCACTTGTAAAGCTCAGTTCATTTATTACTGAGACGCAGCCTTATAGTTTGTACTTTTTGTTTACTTTTGTATAGATATTACACTTTTGTTTAATATATTTTTTATGCCTTCTAAGAAAATGGCTTGTGCCAATTATCCATCACCAAGCACTGTTTTTTAGAGGCAATAGTGGAAACTAGCAGGGGAAAAATTGGGAAAATTACTGAAAAATAAATAAATGCAAAAATAAACGTTCAAGTTATCTTGGCATTTCTTTTCTTTATCAAAAATATCGTATTGTGATGCAAAAACAAAAAAAAGATGTAGCGGATCAAGAAATTTGTGTAAATGTTACAACTCTAGTATCAATATTTAACGTATAAGCAATACGTCGCCTTCGGCTCGTGCCTGAGACCAAATCACAGCCGTGATGTTAGTTGGCGATAACACACGACCTCGAGTGTTCTACTGCTTTTATACAACAGTTAAATAAATAAAGTAATAAATTAATAAACTGGGCCGTGAACGCGGCGTTTAATATGTTTTAATGTTCGCAGTTCCTTCACCAAATTATAGTTCCTTAACAAGCAGCTTGTAGCTACGTCAGAGTAACAGACTGCGCTCACTCGCTGCTCAGTCTGCTGTAAGCCTCGCCTTTTGAAGATCGGACTGAGCCATAAAGCTTGTCATATTTTACCAGATCAGTATTAATCTTGTTTTGTTCCAGCCAGTCTGTAAAGCATCTTACAGCCCATTTTGTTTGGTTAATGATATTCGGTTAATTTCTGGCTGATTCCAGGTTGTTCAGCTGTTCTTCTGTCACAGCTGCCGACTGAAAAGCTGCTCAGTGGTGATGACAGTTTGGGAATTTAGTGTCGTCTCATCTTCAGAGTCTGACCAAATCGGCTGTTGGTCAAATGTGATCTTAAACGTGTCCATTTTCTGTTTGTGGCCCAGTAAGAAGTTAAAACGTTCATATGGCTCGAGTGTCCCCTACAGCTGAGTGGAGTGGAGTGATACAGTGTTTGTGGAAAAACGGTGATGTTATGGTGAAATAACAGCACGGTTAGAATGATTCCCAACCAATCAGCTTGCGTGGCCGGAACTAACTGTCGTATAACTTATAATAAAGCCCAGCCCTAATCGTCACATTTATACCATGACCCAGCACTAGAAACACTAACCACACAGTCCCTAGTAAAGACCTGAAACATGTTTCAGAATCACTCTTTAGCACCCACCGTCCTCCTCCTCTCCCTCCTCTGCCGCGATCTTCTTGGCCTGCTGCTCGTACCACTGCAGCCGGGGCGCTTTGTCCGGCCGCTGCCTGTCGTGTCCCTCTGTGGGCGTGGCTTTGGAGGGGGTGTGTCTCTGCTGCTCCCTCAGCGCTTTCTGAAGAGCCTCGTTCTGAGCGTCCTTGTCGAGCTCCGTCCCCTTCTCCAGGTTCTTCTCGTTCATCCGCTGGACCGTCTCCTGAGCGGCGGCCAGGGCCTTCTTCTCGGCCTGCAGGTGTTTGTGTGACTGCAGGTGGTTGTTGTAGGCGTTGGCGCTGGAGAACTTCTTGTTGCAGGTGGAGCAGGCGCTGAGGCCGTGGCCGGTCTGGTTCTGCTGCTGCTCGGCCGCCGCTCGCTGAGCCAGGACGCGCTCCTGGAAGTTCTCGGCCGTGACCGGAGGCATGTCGGCCACTTTGCGCTTCAGGTTGTAGCGGTGCCAGTCCGTCTTGTAGTGCGCCCGCTGCACCTCGCCGTCCGTGAACTGCACACGGCAGCTGATGCAGGTGTAGGAGGACATGACTGTGAAGAGAGAGGACAGTGAACAGCTTTATTCTACAGTCTACACCTATAAACCTATAAAGCTTGATTCCTACATCTCCCAGAGTTCATCTTGACTGTTCATCTTAGCATCACTATGGTTGGTAAAGAGCTACGTTTTATATGTAAAGTTGATTATGATAAAATTGTGGCAAATCTGGGACATAAAATGTTTTTTGGGGACTATTTTGCTTTATAACACCCTGTATGCAGCTCTACACCACCGAAAAGCTTATTCAGGCAAAAATCTTATCTGAAAAATACTGCAAAACAATGTTTCATGCATCAAGCAGCATAACTGTTTTGTATAACAACTTTCTGTGAGGGAGGCATTTAAGTCTTCAGACGTCTGGTTCCTATCACCATCACTGTGAACAATTTGGACCCAGCAAGACTGGAAGATTTCACATCAAATCTCTCTGTAGGACATCTTAACGATTTAACAATGCAGAATAGATGCAATTTCCCTTTAATAGTCAGCTAAATTAACTAACCTGCCTGTTTCTCTCCGGATAAGTACAGGATTCAAGCATAAGTTTTCCAATTAAAAGTGAATCCCACCAATTATATTCTGTATAACTCAGTGGCTGAGATGTAACCAAAGTCATTCGGACTGGTTTGACTTGAAATGGTTCTTTACAGTGGGGTTGACAAGAACCAGGAGTCGGCATGTCTACAACACAAATACAGCCATTTTATTTACTACCCCAAACCAACAATGAACCTGTACGTATCTTCTGAGCTTTTTATGTAACGCTGATGATGGTAAAATATTGGAAAATCTGAACAGAAGAGTTTTCTTTGGACAATATTTTTCCTTACAATGACCTTCACCATGAATTGATTACATTAACTGATTAAAATACATGTTAGACCAAAACTTTAGCAAATTGATGTCTCAGGCATCAGGCAGTGTCTTCATAACTTCATAATTTCATGTAACAATTTTATATCATGTAGATTTTAGGGGCATTAAACTCTTCCGCCGTCTGGTTCCTATCACCACCACTGTGAACAGTTCTGACTCTGTAAGTTACTCTAGAACGGAGCATTTCACACCAAACCCCCCTGAATGACTTTGCTAATATGTTAACCATTTAATCATGCGGAAATTTGGAAAAATTGGTGGAGTTCCCCTTCAAAAGAATCCAATCAGCTCGGACCATGAACTTGCCTTTTTATTAGAATTCCCCGTTCCACCTTAAATGGCTGTGCAGGCGGCAGAATGTAACAGCTACACTACTTAAGGTGGAACGGAAAATTCGAAGAGAACTCGACTTCAACCAATGTTCTCCAGTTAAAAGAACCCAGTTAGGTTAGCTAGATCCCTCTGAAGGGACCATGACTAAGAGCACAGGGCTCCACTAACGTTAGCCAAGTCCCCTTCAGAAGACACGGCGATTATTTTTCAATAACGGGCGGCCACAAATCAATATATTGAGGCCACGAGTTAGCACATGGAGGCCACTAATTAGGAGAAACATACTTCGAGGCCTCAATATCGTAATTCGTGCCCACACCTTATTTAAAAATGTCACTTTCGAGGCTCCGTGAAGCTGTGTTAGCTAAGCTAACTAAGCTAGAGGGTCTATTTTAGAGAGAAAAACAAGAAAATATCACGAAGTTTTTCAGGAATTTCGTAGTAGTTTCAACACAAAACGTTCGTTTTAGGTTCAAGGTGGATAAACATCTTTTTATTCAGCGTCTAACCGGATATTTTAATGAATTAGTCGCTGTTTTTTTTATCGTTTTTCTGGTCGTAGTTTGGCTGCGCTGACAGGAGCTGCGTTAGCTTGCTGGCTAACAGCTCAGCCCGGTAACCGCTCATCTGAAACCGGGCGGGCTGTGAGTTTAAGGCCGCAGTGATGTGGGTTGTAGGTGTAGTTATTGATCTGTCCTCACCTGATTATCGGCTCTCCTCTCCCTGTAAAGATGTTCTTCTCCTCTCCAGCTGATCACACGAGGACCGCAGACCCGCTGAACCCGATGTAAAACAACACAAAACTAAGACCGAGTTGCCCTTAAAGCGCCTCTACCGGCCGAACGGACCAACAACACCCTCAGCTGCCACAAACAGTGCCCCCAAAGGGCATTTGGGCCCGTGTGCCACGCTGACAAACACCTGTTAACAAAATCAGTTTTAAACAGACCATTTAAAGTCTGGGATTTACTTCTTGGCAAAGTATTCTTTCCAAACATGGCTTTCAGTTCCAGATCATCAGTTTCTTCGCCAATTTACATCATTTACACTCTTAAAAGAGCTGCTTCTTCAAGTGTTAGAGACACTTTAGAAACAACAGTACTTCTATACAGAACCCTGAACACTCAACAACAATTTGCGATGCTAAAATGGTTCTTTGCCTGGTGAAACGGTTCTTCAGACTGACTGAGAATGTGTTGTATACGGTTCTATATTGCACCCAAAAAGGTTCTTCTATTGTTACAAGCTTGACATTTAAAACTCTTTTTTTGGTGCTATTTAGAACTATTTTTCCAATCTACAACAGATTCCCTGTCTATCTGAAGAACCGTTTCATCATGCGAAGAACAATTTAAGCTTGCCAATGTTTTTTTGAAAGTTCACGGTTCTACATAGAACCAGTCTTTACTATAGAACACTTGAAGAACCATCCTTTTTAAGAGTGTAGATGTAAATTTGCAAAGAAACTGCTCAAACAATGACCTGGAGCTCAACAGCCGCTTTCGGAAAAAAATACTTTGCCAAGAAGTAAACGACAGACTTGGAAAGTTCATGGTTCTATATAGAACCATACATATTTATCCATCTTTTTTAAGAGTGTACCCATACAGAAATCTGATAAATGGCCATATATAGACTCATATATAAAGAGTCAGACATCTTTTTAAATGTATATGTCATATGTGTATATAACACACACACAGACATTTTCTCTTGAATATAAAAATTATTTAAATGTGTCAGGGACAATATTTCAATTTACTTCATATTTTAGTGTTTTAATAACTTTCAGAGTTTAGTCATGTAGCTATTCAACTACCTTTCACTTCATTAGGAAGTATGTTGAAGAAACAAAGAAGGACAAAACTTTATATAACATGAAGCTATTAAATATGCATAATATATATATGCCGTCCTTCCATTAATGTTTTCTGTCATGTACTGTTATATACATGTGTTACACATATATGTCTGTATATATTGATATATGGCTGAAATGTATGTCCCATAATGAAAATTGCCAGTTTCAAATAAGTTGGCATGCATGTCACACATATGCCCATATGTGACTAATATAAGTTGCATATGAGGGAAATCCATAAATGCTAATAGATGTCATATATCTGAAATCTATATTGCCATATGCCATGTTAGATTTCCATATAGGGTAAAATGCCTTTGTACACTTCACTCTCAAACTGGGGTTTCAGAAGTTTTACCTCTACTTAGTCATTTGTTGCTACTATTTCATTATATTATTTCTACTTATGTACTATTTTGTACTTAGTCAATGTAGTCACTACATCTGCTTTGGCCGTATCTAAATAAAACAATACTTCAATACCTCAGAGCCACATTGCACCTGCTTTACAAGTCATCTGTAACGTCATTGAACAGGGCCGTTTTGATGAGCAGGTCAGCGGTTCTTCAGTGAAGACGAGCGCGTTTGCACGCACTTCATAATCCGCTCACTATTGGATTCCGGCAGTTAACTGATTATTCAAGTCATGATGTGAACATCTAACTCCAATTTCTTCGATCAGATTAAGGCCTAGAAATCTGATTAAGAAATCCAATGACGAGAGCTGGATTATAGCTCAGTAATTGGCATGTGTACCCTTACTCTGATTTCTTTCACTTTTCTCAGTCTGTCCGAAAACGGAGCACTCTCCCGGATGCTGAAACCGATGACATGCTTGATGGAATAAAGAATTTATATATTCATCTTCCAGATGATGTATGTTCATATTTTCCACTAAAGTGGGAGCATTACAATGAGTTTTCCGTGGCTTATTCTGTGAATTTATTGGCTGGTTGCAAAATAGAAATCCAATTACAGCCTGACTGATGTAGACCCGGAGGGTTCCCATTATCTGATTACCCAAGTGCATGTAAACGCATCCAATGAATTACCGACAAAATATGATTTTCTGCAGTTATGGGATTACTAAGTGCATGTAATCGCACTCACTGAGCGTCATGCTGGTGTTCTTTTGGACAAGATCGTCCAGCTGGAGAGTTGATCTCAATGTAACGGATGTTGTTTACTTCATTTGCATATACCCCAACATCTGCCAGATGTATAATCTTTCCAAGCGGTGTTCAAAGTATGTATGTCTGTAGTTAACAAGCTGAAGATACTGTTTATATACGCTATAATTAAGTGCAGTCTTTTCTCTCGTATACATATTTGAATTTAGAACGACTGTACAAAGGGAAATTGTGGCATGTGAACGAGGATGGAAAAATAATTTGCATAATATCTGCACTTCTTTAAATTATCTTCATATTGGATAAATGATAGTATCAGCCCATGGATACACTCAACCTTCAGATTTTCAGCAAAGGGGATCCAACTTTCCAGCACAAAACCTGTGAAGCCTTAGTTCTTTAAGGTCTTTCCCATTTCTCCAGTTCTGCACTCAGCCCTCAGACCACAACTACATCAGTGGTCACCAACCCTCCTCCTGGAGATCTTTGTTCCCGCGTAGTTCCAACCTGCATCTACATGCCAACCAATTAAGGACTTCTGAAGAAGTTCATTAGCTGGAGCAGATATGGCAGATTGTGGTTGGACCTAGGCTCCACTGGATGGTAGATTTCCAGGTCCAGGGTTGGTGACCACTGCATGACATGAACTGGCCTGCATGTACAAAATAACCATCAGATGTACTGTTATTTTGTAGACTGTCTAGGTAAACTGAGCTAACCCTAGCTCCTACGCCATGTCTTCATCACAAACTTGAGAACTCAGTAAACACCGTTTAAATGACCTTGTTGCTTTCACCGCATTTGTGATTAATTGCAGGTTGATTAATTGCAGCTTCACCAAATCAATCACCATGAAAACACTTCCTATGGAGGAGAAAAGGAGCTGCGATTCAGAATCTCAACTCCACAAGGACACATCCTCTCCACATGCGCCTGGGAGACTGATGTTCGTGATGTGCTGGACTCTCTGGGCAGCAGATGAAACCAGAAACCTTCAGCACATTAGAACTAAAAGTTCGGCCAACATGGGACCACAGTCTAACATCTTCGGCCAACACAGGGGTTTTATAGCATGTACAGCCAACATGGTTAGTGACACTACAGGGAATATAGTGGTTAAAACATTAGTATGAACAAAGCAAAAGATATTGAAACGATGTTTGTGTCAGTGTACATTGGCAGGCATGTAAGGCTTTTTAATAGATATTACAAAGACGCTTTGTTCAGTATTAGAAAATGCAGGCTAGAGAAAGCAAGCATGCAGTTCCAAAAAGATCCTTTAATAAATAAAAGGCAGGGAAAAAAAGCAAGAGTTCTTGGTAAAAGGGGTTACGTTATTTTATTAGTCTTAAATTTGTATCTACAACGAAGGGACACGAGCAAAAATAAGTGACGACTCCATGAAAAAAAAGAAAACAACCAAAAAAAAATACATTTATTATTGATGCAGTTTTCCCATCTTTTCAATAAACGACTTTTTTCAGTCTAAAGAAACTTTACAATATAAAGAAACATACAAAGGACTTCGTTAACTACACGAGACACGAAAAAAGTCCCTAAGACGAGGATCCAAACTAGCCTAACATGAAATACAAAGCAAAACCGAGGAGGCCACTGCTTCATACTCAATACTGCTTTTTTGTTGTTTTGTTTCTCGGAAAGAACGATGAAACGGCGCAGGAGAAAAATGATCTCACCCCCGACCCCTTTTACGCATCCTCACCTCCCTGCCATTCCTGCTAATGGTACATCATACAGCACGACGGTGGAACGGAAACGGCCGATGTGACAAGTTTTACACGGAGAACAAGGGCGAGGACAACGGCAACCTAGAAAAACAGCTTCTCCCGATGCTTCCTCCCTTTTTATTACTACTTTTTACAAGTTGTAGACACGCTTTTTCTTAATTTTCTTCCTTTTTTTATACATTTTTAGTTTAAATAGATTTAAAAAAAAAGAGAAATCCTTCATAGCAAAGTCTGTGGTCCCTTCACGTTTCGGAGACGCGCAAGTTTTCGCGAGAATGTGAAACGTGTTTGTGTAATGGGCTGTTTTTGTCGTTTTTGAAAACGTGACGTGGTTTCCCTGGAGACAGTGCCCAAAAAAAAACAAAAAACAAAAAAGGACACAAGGCTTTAAAAGGTAGACCAGCGTTCAATTAACATGAGTGACCAAAAAAAAAATGGACAAAGAGAAAAACAAACAAAAAAACCCAAAATAGCAAAAAGCCTCGCTATATCTCCTGCGGTTTCTGGCTCTGGCGAACAGTATGACGTAACTGTGGAGAAAACGAACAAAGCCCGTGATTGGTCAGTGCAAACGGACCAAAAACGAAGCCAAAACGAAACCGCAGAAAGTATTCAAGCTTGTAAGCTTGGTTTCGGCTTTGCGCAACCCTCGTGAGCCTCTTTCTGCTGAAAGTATACTAAGGCCTTAACGCTCACATCTTCTTTTCCTGTCTCCAGGGGAACCACGTAACGTCGTCTTTCCTAAAAGACGAACGCTGATCCTGAGCACTGAAGTCTGAAACACGTTTGCCAGAGTGTGTGAGGAGGGACCGTGTGTTTTTTCTGCTACAGAGCTGCCTCTCACCACCTGGTACCTTTTCACAAATCAAACTTTCATCTTTACATTATTATTATCTTTTAAATAAATGTGTCAGTACAAAAAGGGGTTCACCAAATGTTCCCTCCTTTTCCACTTGTCTTGTGTTGGTTGTACAGTGGGGGAATGGCCAGGGACTGAGAGTTTGCTGTCTGTTCAGCTATAAAGGTGAATTGTTTTTTTTTCCTTTACATCTTTTTTTTACCAGCGCTGTGTACATTGGTAGTGACGGAAATATCAAAACATGTCAATGATATCAAAATGCATTTTACAGTATTTACAACAGCCAAACAGAACAGAAACAGAAGAGACACGTTGTGTTTAGAGGGGGGGGGGCGACAGACTGAAAGCTGAAGAGGCTTTGGGAGTACGCTGAAGTGAAAGAGTGAAACGAGAGGCTCCTAGCATTGAGGGCCCCGTCCATCACTCATTACCTCTTACTGACCATTTCACACGCCTCTCCTCGGTGGTTTATTCGGCTGAGGATAGTTTCCTTAGCGCAAGACTGAATCCTAAAACACATTTTGCTTAAATGCAACACAAACAGGTGGGAAAAGAAAATAAAACAGGAGGAACTCTGCACCGACGCTGAGTGATGAGGAGACCGTACGTTGATGTGGGTTCACAGCCACAGTGTGTTGTGTCGAGGGCCTCGAGACACAAGAAGATTGAGAAAGTCAGTTTTCAACGAGAAGCACCCATCGTGGAGCCGGTCACGTCGATGGTTTTGAGACATGAATGTCTGTTAGAAACCTGGATGGAGGTTCAGGGTGGCAGTTCTAGGTAGTCTTCCAAAGCAGTGTGTTCCAACAGGGAAAATATAAAAGTCACAGTCAGATTAGTTTGGCTAGTAACAACACAGTAGCCGGGGAGTATTTACAAGCAGCGTTCGACCATGATTTCAACCACACAGTTTTGCAGAACGTCTGTACAACAGACTTGGGAACAGACACTGTGACAGTACCTTGCAGGAACATCAGCAAATGTACTGAAGATCTGCAGATTTTTAGGGGGATTCAAACAAAATGTGTTCCAGGAGCCGAAGCCGGGGCGAGGCGGAGGACCGGCGGCCTCCTCTGCTACGCGCTGCTGAGCCGAAAGAAGCCTCCGAAAGAAGTTCTTTCCATTCTATCGGAAAGAACAAAAACCACGTGACTGTGTCTCAGCGGGCGCCTGTTTCCCCGAGACGCCTTGTTTTTCGGAACATGCTGGAGGGCGGGGATGAAAAACAGGGCAGAGTATACAGAGGGTACAACGGTACAAATCAGTAGGAGGTATCTTAGACTGGCATATTTACATGTTTACAATATGTCCTGAAGCGTTGCATGTTGCAAGACATACGCACAACAATTCATTAAAAAAAAAAAAGGTAAAATAATAAATAAAATATGACGAGTTATAATAAGAATTATAACCACTATTTATAGTACCACAATAAAATGCCTTTCTTTAAGCGAACAGGTTTTCGGCTAAGGGGCAACAGCATTTTTCCACTCTGTTTAAAAAAACAAAAACAATTAAGCCAAAGAACGACAACCAAAAAAAACAAAAAAAAACCTGAAAATAGACTAGGAGTGAAAATTACGTCCCAGGCCAGGTTATGTTGAGTTACAGTGACCCTGGACTGCTGGATAGAGAACCTGATGACTGCAACAGCTTGGAGTGAAGTTACTGAAATGCTTTACACCCTGGAACGCTTTTCTCAAATGGGACACTGAAGCTATACTGGAATTTCAAAACACAATTAAAAAAAAAAACATACAAAGCTTTCAGCCCCAAAACAATAAAACAGACTAAAATCACAAAAATCATAGGACGTTTCCCGCCATGTATCGAGAATGTGCTTACTCTGTCGGTTTCGTGGTTATTGAGATACAATGTGCCCTTCTGAGGAAAAATACCCTAATCAATAATCATTGCAATATTAATACAAAAAAACAATAATTATTAATAATACAATACATACACAAAAATAATGAAAACTTTCATAGCCCATCACATCTTCATGAGTTCACTCTTGCATTTAAAAATGTACACATTGAAATGAAGGATGGGGGTGAAAAAAAAAAACAGGATCAGAAATCCTGATGTGAAAACTACTGCATTGATAAAGAAAGAACAAAACTCAAAATCGACAAGATAACAAGAGATGGAGTGAGTTTTAAAAGGAGTCGAGCAGCCTAAGTCGAGCGCTGCGGGCTCACGCGTTCCTGCCCATCAGTCCATCCTTTTACATATATATGTGTGTGTGTGTGTGTGTGTGTGTGTGTATATACACGGTCTTGAAGCCCCCCTTCAGTGTCCTGAGCCAGAGAGAAAGCCCGGCAGGCAGGGCGAGTCAGTCAGCAGGCTCTTCCTGTGGCTCGGGGGCTGCTTCCTGTTGCAGGCCATTTTGCACGCCCCGGAATGGGCCGCCTTGGCCTGAGTCCCAGGAGGCTGCGCAGGGGTCCCGGCCCAAAATCCCACGGGCAGGGGTGGGAGCCAGAGTGGAGAGGGTTCAAAAGGAACGAGGGTCGGAAGGGTACAAAACAAATACAAAATAAAATAAAACAAAAAAAAAATTCAAATAATAAAAAAAGAAGAAATCACACACTCATCGTCATGTTGGGTGAATACTGGAAAGAGAAGAAGGGAGGGGGGGCAGATAACTGAGATGAGATTATGAAGACACATACGAGATGGTTATACAAAATACAGCAAAACAAATGCGCTCGGTTTTGTGTAGACGAGGCAGTAAGCGTGAGACAAAGCAGCTTTGCTTTGAAACTCAAAGCTCAAAAGACGTCTCTGTCCCAGTAACTGCTGCTCCGTCACAAGACAAGCCGTTTCCAGCACCCACTCTAAAACTGTTTACCAAAATTTGAATTTCTTTTTCCCCACAATAGCAAATAAATTGTTTTGTAAAACGTTTGTCAGGCTACAAGTGATCAGGCCAGTGGGCGGGGCCTCCAGAGTGCCTGCTGGGCGGAGCTGTATGACTGGCAGGTGGAGGAGTGGCAGGGCTGGGATGGGGCGGGGCTTTACTCACACTTTCGCTTTGGAACGGGTTGAGGAAGTTTCCGCCCATCTCTCCGTCGTCCCGTGGTGTGCCCGGCGGGTTGTTCATACCTGCCATGTTGTTGGGCGAGTTCTGCAGAACAAGCACAGTTTCAAATGTCAACACAAGTTGCAACAGCCCAGTCTGACCTTCTGTGAAGTGCATTCTTCCTATATAATTTTGCCTCCAACAAAAGCAAATCGGAAGTACTGGACTCGTACTGTGTTGAAACACATGTTGACCAATTTTTTCCACTCCACAAAAAAACATCTTTTGGCCACAGAATACAAACTGTTCTTTCTCTACTGGCCATTGGTCCAGTGATTAAGATTTTGGTAACTGCTCCAAACTGGTACCAACAGGATTTCAGGGCATTCTCTCTTGCGCATTTGGTAAGACTTGCTGCTGAAACCAATTACAAACTCTTTCAGGTGAAGATAAAGTTACCAAGCACTAATACACGACCAGTAAAGGCTCCAGAGTATAAACAAGAATAGTTCGCTGATGATTCGATTGCTATTTTGAGAATTATGACCTTGTAAAAAGTTCACTAAGGTGACACAAGCTAGTTAGAAAGCTACTGGTAATGTTTTTAGCACTAGCACAGAAATTCACACTTTTAAGAGAAAAAAATAAAGCTTTGCTTGACACTACACTCGTCTGTAAGCACAGATAATTATGTGAGTGTGTGCCTGTAGTGTATCATGTCAGAACAATCCAGTATAGTTTATTTAACTAGCAAGCAAAGTAGAAAACCAGACAAATTAGACATGTTAGAGCTTTTATTACAGTGGAATAAAATGACCAAAAAGGCAATTAAATCATTTATCATGGTTAATATAACAGCCTCAGCATCTCTCAATCAGTCAACTCTGCAAATTGTTAGTGTGGCCATTATTGTGGCTAAAATTATTTAGATGCTGGATCTTGTAAATGTCTTGATTCATCAAAACATCCACGGAACGCTCCTTCTTTCAGCTCTGAAATGTGTACAGTACTATTTGGACAGGATTAGTTTTATATGGGGAGGTGGGATGATGTAATTTTACCACAGGATGTCTGTAATGTTTATGAAGAGTTCGCACAGGATAAGAAATCTCAGTAAAACCATGAGAGAGATGAGATGGATTCATCATGGCTACACGATTTACTCCAAAAAAGAGAAGAAAAGGCATCAACACATTTAATTTAGCCGTTATTCTGTTTACCGTAACATCTGTCTCACTGTCTTCAGTAAAAGCACTGTGTCACCAGCATTTTCATATGCTTGGAATTTCTCAGTCAACAGCCAACATCAACAGATAATTCTTATGTGTTTTAATGTTCTGTTTGCATTTGAGGACAATACATATCGGCTTGATTTTAGCCAAAGAGAACGCGAGTAAATGCTTCTTCAGGTGCCTCCATACTTAAGAAACTCCTTCTCCACAGGATATGATAGCGGTTTTACACTACATGCAGTGTATGCAGATTCACATGGGATTAATATAATCTAGGGTTATTTCTATGGCTCGTTTTATGGAGGGTAATAGGCACCAGAATCTTTGCAGTCCGTAAAAATAATTAAAATTACTTAGAAATGCTGATAAAATTTCCTCACAGAGCGATAATATATATTTTTTAAAAAAAGTCATTTGTTAGGAGGCTAATTTGTTATACACAGGGCTCTCTGCAACACTGGTATTGCAAAGGTCAATATCACAATCACAACATAATAAACAATATATTGCCCCCACATTTAATGTAATCATTCAGCAGGTCACCAACACTCCATACGCAAAAATATTAAGTTTCAGGACTGGAAAAAACTCTAATATTTACCTTTGGCAACCCATCCATGTCACCAGAACCTGTAAATGAAAGTGAAGTTTAGAAAAAAGCAACACATCACCAACAGGGGGAGCTTTAATACAACGAATGAATGTTATGTGATTCAGACGCTCTCTTCATGTTACACAGCTCACCTAATGATCCATTCATATGATGAGGCTCCATGGAGCCCATCCCTCCCATCGGGCCGTCAGGGCCTGGACCCATCGGGAACTGTCGACAGATAAGCTAGAGTTACATTCAGCCGAACAGCACCTCCTCCCATTCAAGCCAGTCATTCAAGCCATTTAACTACATGCAGATGAGAATACATTGGTTTCATTCATAAAGGCAGAGAGAATAAAAGCCTGTGAGGTAAAAAACATGACTAATATGAGACTAGTTTATATCACGTGTGGACATCATACTTAAAACAGAGGTTTACCAAAATATGACCATCAAACTGTCAGGGGATTCAGTACATTGTTGCCTCCAGAAATATGACAGATACCGCCCAACATTAAGGCTACAGCTTAGTCACCATGTTAAACATTGGCCAAAAATGTATACAATTTTCCCACTAAATGTAGTCGATCAGCCAAAACATGTTTACAGACTTAACTTGCTTCTTTGGACAAAAGTATGTTGCATAGATAAGAAGAGTGGCCACCTAGTTTCATTTTTTATACATACTACATTGGAAATTCAATATGATTTGAAGCAATTGATGATTGATGGATTGATGATTTCGGCATGAGATTTGCATGATGTTAACTGTGGTTAACTGGCTTTAAGTCTCCATTACTTGTAAGACTCAGATTCAGTGGAAAAACTAAAGAAGCAAACACTCCTTTGACAACTGACTAATTCTGGGGTGAGTTTGATTTTTCACTGATCAGTTTAAGAGCCGGAAACTCAGGAGGGCCTCCTCGACTGCACTTATTTCTCACGACTGATCAGTGAATCAAGACAATACTCACGCTGGGCCGGTTGCCTCCTGGACCGATGGGGTTCATCATTGTGTAGATATTTTCACTGGAGTTCGTGGAGTCTGCCGAGGAGAAAGAAAGCAGAGGGTCAGTTCTCACAGAGTGGGAAAGTCAGCCCTGAGCACAGTGAGGCTGCACTGTCATTACAATGAAGCAAATCGCTACGCTTGCCAACTTTTGGCTGCTTGGTGGGCGTGTTTCCAAAATGCAAGCAGGTTTAGCTGTCCAGAGTAAAAGTGGTGCATTATTTACCAATGTAATTCATCTTCTACTGAATATTCATACATTTTGTATACATTATTTTTTTTCCACCATTATAATTATCTCCTGCTTGATGCATCTTCAAGTACTGAATCTTCTCAAGTGTAGAATATGGGCGTGACGTACGACAAAAAATACTTGTGCCACATTTCAACAATCTGACTGGTTGCAGCCTGGCAAACTTCGCTTCTCATTTCCATCAAGTTCAGAAATTCTCATCAGCGAGACTCTCATCTTCACTGAAAAAGAGTGGGAGCCTAAATGAAACATGCTTCGCTCCACTGCAATGAAATGCATAACACGTTATATGGATCTAACCCCGAGGACGAGGGTCTCCCCTTTGCTCATTTACACACTTTAACTGCATGCCAGATCGATATGGAGCTCAGGCGAGTTTTCTCAGAAGCTGCCGTGCTCCTCCTGAATGTTTCACGAGTCTCTGGGAGCGAGAGACAGAGTGTCCGAGCCCAGGTTGAGGCGAGGGTGGCTGTGTTAGGATTACGTCACTGTGAATGTGGGGGAAGGGAGGGAATGTAGCACTGCATGTTTTTTTTCCTCTCCTGCTGCTGAAGTGCTGCTGCTGTCCACACAGCCACACTAAGATAATGCAGCAACCTTGTGCTGACATTGGCTGGTGGTACTGAGGGGGAGGGGTTAGGGACGGTGAACGGGAGGCTTTGAGCATCGTTCTGAGGGAAATATGAACAGTTCCCGTCTATGAGGTGGTTACAAGAGGAAGGCAGTGAGATCGTATTAATCCTTCCTTCTGTGTTTGTGTGTATTTGTGTTTGTAAATTGGCAGAACAAAAATATGCTGACATTGTAGGAAAACCAGAAAAACGGGTTTAACCTGCAGGACCAAAAAAATGGTCTTCACTTCGTAAAGTTCTGTCACTTTTTTTAAAAAAACGTAAGAGTTATTGTTACTGAGGTTAAGATTAGTTTAGCGTTAAACTTAGAAAGTCTAATTATATTCAAGTAAATATAGATACTTAAACATATACAGTATAATACATACAGAACACAATTATTATGCATAGATACTTGGCATATCGGCCAACACTGATCTGTTATTTTTTCTTAAAAAACTATTAAGCTTTAAAATGGAAAATGAATTATTTTTAATTGAAGCACTTCACTTATGATGATCATCTAAAAGTAGTCTATCATACTCAATCTAGCCAAACGCTCTACTACCCCACGAAAAGAAATCCACAGCTAACAACTGCTAACAATGCGAGCATGTGCTATTTCAGGACAGATTTGTTACAGGGCTGTATCGGCTTAATTCTTCTTTTCTTCCAGTCCAGCGTTTTCTACTGATATAAGCACAACACTGATACCTGTAATTGGACCGGTGCCACTGCAAATATTTACATATATAGTACATAGGGGGCATTTTTTTTTACATATACATACTTACAGAAAAAGCTATGGGACATTTTCTATTTTTACATTACATTTTTTCCAAATATGTTCAACTCAGCAAATAAATCAAAATTGTGCACTAGAATTTGGACATAAATACCATATTTAGGTTGGCTACTTGTAGAGAATGTGTTAACTTATTTTAGAAAATAAGTTCAAACTTTTGCATATTACTGTCCATTTCAACCTATATAAAATAAATATAGGTGGGGCTGCGTTTAAAATAGCGCTACAGCAAAATATCATGAAATTCACAAACACAAATACATACTGATTTAAATTCTTTTCAATTAATTACTATGATTATTATTAATAATACCATTTGTTATGTTTTTTACTATTTTTTACAAATTGGAAGTCGCTCTTATCCAGAGCGACTTCCAATTTGATCATTTTACAGAGGTAGGCGAAGGCAGTGTTAGGAGTCTTGCCCAAGGATCCAGCATGTGGTAAACATATCGTCACTGTCTAAGATACTGGTCGCTGGTAACTTTACAGGAGAAGTCAAAAACATTCTTTAATTGTGATGTAAGTTAAGGTGACAAGATTGTATTCCAAGCCATTTTGAAGCACATTTATCGGTCCATTCATCATGAAATTGTCACACAGTGTAAAGGGCAGCTTTTGTACTCAAACGAAGTAGAAAAATAAAAACAGAAAAAAATGTATATGTTTGTTTTTTTGGACAGCAACGATTTGCCCTCAGCGTTCTTCCCTTTGTTTACTATTAACTTGCGCTTCAATCTGGTGCGTTAGTGAGTTACTAGTGTGCAGCCTGCTGTGATTAGCGATTAGCAATTAGCTAATTTGTTTACACGTTAGTATTTTATTTACATGTTTGTAGTGCTGCTTCTCGATGAAGCTCTGTTGTTGTTCAGTGATGATTTTTACAGTCTCACACATGTCCTGAAATACATATTACTGCTGTGCTGCTGTCTTTGCTATTAAAACTGCAGAAAGTTCAGTCCTCTGCCTCTCTGTGCTCTAACCAGCACCTCAGAGTGAACCACACCTATAATATAGTTCTCAGAGCTCCCTCAGCATCGTTTATGTATATTAAAAATTAAACAGTTAAGGTAAACATTCATTTAAAAATGTCACCTTATTTACTCTTTATCAATGTAGGTTTTTCTGCTAAACACTGACCAAATATGTCTGTATTGTGATGCTTTTATAATGATGAGTTACACATTGTGAGACTGTCCTACACAGGGAGCCTATGCAAAACTCCTCGTCCTGACATTGTATAATATTGTACAAAAACAAATGTGTTTGTGGATTTCACACACCTCCTGGACTAGGCATGATGGGGGTACCTGGAGGCCCACCTCCTCCTGGAGGACCCTGAGGAAGACACACACAAACACACACACACTCAAATTCCCTTTTTCCATTTTTAGGAACAACATAAACACTCTCCCCGGCCCGAGAAAAGCCGGAGGAGTAATTTTAAACAAAGCTGCCGAAGACACAGGGGAGCTATTATGGCAGTATGACTAATGCCCACATTTTCTGCATGTGCAACCAGCGTCGCCTGCAGCAAAAACAAAAGAATGCTCAAGCAAAAATCAATACGTTTAGAAACTTTAATATGTGCTTAGGCATTCTTTTTGTTCCCGCGTTTTAAAGTTTCTCCCTGGGGGTGAAGCAGGGGAGAGATAACAGACTGAGCTGGCGCTGAGTTGACGAGCCGACAGGGTGGTTATGGCCCTGTTACTTACCACGTAGTTGCCCGGAGATGAAGAGGAGTATGCTATCTGTGAGTGAAGAGAGCAAGAAAGAGCACAGATGAGTTTTTTTTTCCCCTCAATTCTAACCATGGTCACTATATTCTGTTCGTTTAATTAGTCCCAAGTTCAGACTTACAGAGTTAGTGTTGGGATTCGGCCAAGGACCTCGCCCTCCTGGACCCCTGAGAGAAAGAATAAACAAACAGACCAGGGTTGTCAAGACTGCTCCATTAAAAAGAAAAAAAAAATAAGTAAAATTACCTTAGTGAATTGATAATAATTATGTGGCAATTTGCATGACGATAATGTCTTTTAAATTTCCCTACTGGTCTCTGTTACAGTAAGAAATAAAGCACGATGGACATGTTCGTTTAAATGTACTGGCAACTAAAAAAGTTCTGTTTTTTTTTGTAATTCTGTCTTTTAAGTTAATTTTTTCTTTAAACGCCTGGTTAAATGCATGGTTATTGTTCAGTTAAGTCTAACTGTATTATGGACCTTTTTTAAAAACTCATCATTACTAGATTAATCACAATAATCAATCTATAAAACAGACAATCTATTTTATGGAGAGAAATGTGTACGAGAAATGTCGGCCAAACATTTCTGACAAAAACTCAAGCAATAACGATGATGATGATGATGATGATGATGATGATTTGTGGTGGCTACTCACATGTTCATTCCTGGCATGCCAGGCCCACCGAGAGAGTTAGGAGGTGGCCTCATCCCACCATAGTTCTGCAAAGGGGGAAAATACTGTTTATAGCCACACATAACCCAGCACTACAACTGTGTTACAAATCAACTCTTGGAAGTCACTGTTATCACGATTGGTAACCAAAGCATTGTGGAATTTCATATTAATTATTTCTCACTGTCAGCTTATTGAAACAAGCAGAGAAATTCTGTTGAAAGTGCAGATTCTAAACTTCTAATCCATACCAGATTTGTGTTTGTAAGTAGAAGAGATGTTTTATTATGATTTGAACTTGAAGGAAAGGCTTTGGTGTGTGCACAGTTAGGCTTTATAGAGAGGAAAACCACCCTTAACATTTGTGCTATGAAAAACATCAGAAGCGCTGAGTCAATGTTGATGTTACACAATGCAAATCTAAGCTAAATGCAGAGCTGGGATGACAAGCGAATTCGAGAAATCGATAAATCGGAACATTTATTGATAAGTACTGATATTTTTAATATTTAAAACCATGAGCGTACTACACTCACACTACACTTTCTTCACACTCAGAAGAAAAAAGTCAACGTTTGGCAGCTCCTATAGTTTATTCTGTTTGCTAATTTTGGTGTTAGGAGCTCTGAGCTGAATCAGAGCCTGTAGAGCCTTAATCAGCTTTGCAATGCTGCTATGAAAATCACTACAGAGCTTTTTTTTTTATTATTTATGTCTTTTTTACCAGAATAGGCAAACTCCCAGTGTCTGTGTCTCTTCAGTTACATAAGTAAAAAAATGCTAACTTTCACTTGCATTCGAACTGCTTATTAAGAAAAGTCTGATGTGCTTTTTGATTTCAGCATCTGCTGATTTCATCTGTAAAAAACTGACATGGTGTTGAAAATCCCTGCGACGACTACAGATTACACTAAAACTTTTAATGAAAAATACTATTTCTGCTCACATACTCCCTGTGTGGCAAGTCTTACAATGCACAAGCTCTATGTTGTGTAACTGTAGTAAACCAGAACTGGAGCAAACACACATTCAAAACGGAAAGAAAATTTACGATAAACTCCACTTATCGATTTCACCGATGATTAGGGCTAAAACGATAAGTGGTCTCAGCCTTATGTAACTGTAATCCCTTCTCAAACTCACTATATATTAAAATATGTAATTACATAACTACATTTGAACAGCAATGAAACTAAATAGCGACTGTAAACAGTCATTAGACTCTCAACTTGAAAAAAATTAAAGTGGTTTTCAGTTAGTATGAACTTCTTGACGTCAAGCCTCCACTCATTATTGGGAACACCGGCTCTTTTGGGAAAGAACTCGTTAAACCCTGTTGCCAGGGGCTGAGTGTAGACGGGCATCAGACTAATTCGGACCACAGCCCACCTTGGGCCGAGAGCTTAGTGGGCCTTGGAGGGTGTGGGGGTGGGGGGGTTGACGGTGTCCTGACTCTCTCTCTTTGTCTCTCACACACATACATACAAACACACCCTCACCAGCAGCTTTGTTCTGCTCTCAAACCAATTTGTCTAACAGATGCCACACCAGCTGCTGATTTGTAAGCTGCCATGGTTGCCAAACACAAGAAGGAAAGTGTGCGTGTGTGTGTGTGTGTGTGTGTGTTTGTTTGCGTGGGTGGGTGGGATTAAGTAAGAGTAGTGTTTCTGAACAGGGGACAAGAAGCAGGAGGTCGTCAGTCTTGTTCCAGCAAAAACTTTTCTATACATTATACCCTGTAGAATGGACTGTTTAAACTGATCGTACGTGTCTGTTTGTTCATACATTTTCAGAAAAGCGGGACTCTGTTACAATGTCAGGTTAAAAAAACTCCATGTTTTATTTTTTAAGAGCAAGAACTAAATTATTATCTATTGCTCCTTTCATTTTATTGTACTATTCAAAAGGCAGAGTACTCTTTATTTATTCAACTTCCTGTCAAAACAGCTACTGAAAGCTATTCATTTGTTCAACGTCAGTTAAAAGCATAACAAAATAATACACAGAAACCTGAACAACAAAATCTAACATCAAACTCGATTCTATTTTTCCACACTTTCAAAGTTCAGTCTTAGAAGTTTGTTGTATTTTCTGCTTCTCTTGTTTTTTTAATCTATTTTCTTTCTCATTAAGGGCTTCTGGCTAGTTACACCTCCTTTCAGACCCATAGTGTTGAGTCTTCTTACAGGGGAAGGATGGACAGAAACACCTGTGGATTTTTTTCAGATCTGAAGCAAGAGTGAAGACTGATTATCGCCTCTCTCTCTAAGATGAAAGCTTTAAGCATCTTCTTGCAGGTGGTTGTTAGGAGTCTCATTTTTCTGTATCTTTTAATCAATTTTTTGAACTCCAATTTGAAGACTCCTGTTTTTTCACCTTCATTATGGAAATAGATTATAGTATTTAGAAGTATTATAGTATTATATAGTATTTACAGTGTTATAGGATATAAAAAGTATTTTTTCCCATTTATATCTCACCTCTGATGACTTTATGTGCGAAAGTAGACAGTTCGCAAATCACTACAGATAAGGGCGATGCGACTTTTTGTTTAACCAGAGTGGCTGACTCATTAAGAGGGGGTTATTTTCACACCTGTGGGCCAACGCCACCCAGTGGATTATCTTATATCTAACCTTTGAAGAAATATCTCCTAAAAATGACTGACCTGTGCTGAATGGGCGTTTTGACTGGAGATTAAATGAATAAATGGTGGTCCCTGACTTTAGCACAGATCTGTACACATAAAAACCATCTGGAACATATTATAGGTAGACACGTACAAAATATATATCAGACACATGGCGTGACACTGTATACAACTAAAACTGTGTGTGTGTCTTTGTGTGTGTGCATGTGTGTGTGTGTGTGTGTGTGTGTGTGTGTGTGTGTGTGTGTGTGTGCGCGCATCATTAAGAGGAGGCTATTTTCACACCTGTGGGCCCATGCCACCCATCCCTCGAGGCGGATTCATTCTCATTGGGCCGCCCATGTTGGGATGTCCTAAAAAAGGAAACAGAAAGAAACTGACCAAACAGTCTTATTTGCAAAACTGCTGCAGCGAACTGAATCTAACCAAACTCTCCCGACTGTTCGCTGGTGTGAGGCTCTGCGTCAAGGGTTCTGGCTATTCTTTGTTCATGCAGACTGATACCTTGTGGTCTAGTGGGATCCAGACTGTTTGGCAAGAGTGGCTGTGACCCTGGAACTCCAACAGGAGGCTGAGGGAAGGAGAAAAGAAGCTTTTACTTATTGACGTCCAAACCTACCCAGATATGAGGAAAAGCACAATACACAGCAAGCAAAATTGACTCAGTTGGAAAGACAACTCGTCTGATTCGTTTGAAGGACGACTTGCACCCATAAGTACCGACAGATGCTCTGTAGAGTTAATATGACAGCAGTTTTATAGACCGTAAAACAGACTACTGCTGTCTCTATCGAAAACCGATTAATCTGACAATTAATCACTCATAGTTTTAAAAAAGGCAAAACAATAAAAATGGAAAGAACAATAATAAATAGGGATGGACAATGATATTAGAATTATATCAGTGCATGTAGATATTCCCAAAAAAAAAGTTTATTTGTACACACACACACACCATTTTAGATTTGACTGGTATTTCCAACCAATATTTAATATTTGCACACACATTTACTGTACTCCAGAAGAGCAGGACATTTAGGCGATGCTGAGCTACTGTGCAAAAATCTTTACTTATTTTTCTGCATTTGTAACCCTCTACAAATAGACCTCATATTTCTCTGTAAGGCTAATCCAGGTGGATCTACTTCCAATTTCTACATTTTATAAATGTTTACACATCAGAATTGGTTGACGTATAGAACACTCGTCACTGGTCCAGTATTCCAGTGCATCTCTAACGATAAACCATGCAGAGCCTTTAACAGAAGACAGTAACTAAGATGCCTTAAAAAGACACATAAGCCTTAAAAAATACATGAAACACTGTATTATGTAGCAATGCAGAAAATGAGTGTATCCAATAGGTTCTGATTAACCTTGTAAGAGAGAGCAGTAGGAGTATTTAAAATAATGCTGTACTTTAATTTATCCATTAAATGAAGTTCATGAAATGACTACAATGTTCTCTTCCTCTTTCAGCAGTCCATGGTTGCCGACAGCCTACTACAAATACATCACAGATAAACTGTTTTTTTCAATTATTATTAATAATAAATGTAATTATCTATTGAGCAGTTGTGCATTTATCATTTTGTGTGTTGCTGTCATTTTACTGCTTTAATTATCAGAAACTGACAACTAATCACAGCTCAATCACAGAGATGGTCTTTTAATAGACTTCTATTTTTCTCAAAGTAATCGAGTGTAATCAAGTAATTGAAACGGCTCTGACAAAGATATAATTAGACATTACAAGGTTTTATGGAACCGGGGTCTGTACCTGGTTTGGCATACGGAGGGACGGCCGGGGTCCACCTGGGTACCGCGGAGACATGAACGGCTGGGGAGAAGGACGGAGAAGAACAACAGTTTTTTCTTCATTATTATCACTGTGTTACTCTGTCGATAGTGTAAGAGAGTAAAATAAGTAAAATAAAAGGTTGTAAAGAGCAGCTCATTAAGGGCTACATGGATGGCAGCAGCAAAGCCCAGCTGGAGCAGGTGGAATGCAGCAGGCAGATGCACAGAGCGGGGCGAAAATGGGGATGGCACCAAAAATGGACATTTAACATAAAACATCCAGCCTTTCTGCTCAGCAAAACATACACTCTCAAGTGCTGCTCAGAGTAGAATTCTCTCACGCACGCACACATAGTTGAATTCTTTATTAAGCTGCATAATTTAAAACTCAATTTCAAATACATCAGTTGTTCAGTCACACCTACATCATTGAGTACATCAGCAAGAGTTGCACATCCATTTAGATGATTTTGGGGACAAATAATGTGGCAACTTCTCATTCACCTGTCTTGCTCCACCCACAACTGTTGCTACGTTGGACCACCTTTATAGAACGGTGGCCAAAATCCAATTCAACCCAAAGACAAACTGACCAGTCTTGGTTTAGAGTCACTAAATAACGTCACCTGTCACAAGCATACAAAATAACTATGACTGAAATAACTAACGCACCCTAATTAAAGGTATTTAGGTACAACAAAAACTGAGTTGTGCACTTCAGCGTCTCATTAGGTTGAATGAGATATCTGCCAGTGTTCTGTGAAGGTTGTCCAACAACTGGACAAGAGCAAGTGTTGGTCACAGACAGGACATCAAACATTATTTGGTGTAATTTTTTTGCTTTCATGTTTGTAAAACCAAGAATACACACCTGTAAACATAGCGATCTAGTAACCACACAGGTACATGACCTAGGCTTTTGAACATAAATTAAAAGAAGAAACCTCATAGGGTGCATATTCTCTTCCTCGTGTACGCACACACAGAACCACACTCTTCACGAGGAGAGTCTGACATCATGAGATCAACCACCAAATGCACTTTCGTGCGAATTTCATCCGAACAGATAAAAGTCATCCTGAGGAGAAAAGCAGGCCTCGTGTGGTCAAGCCCGCACTCAGACAGCCACGGGGAAACGCAGAATAGCTGACCGCAACAAAGCCGCACGAGCGTCCAGACATGCGAAACCGGTGGACAGACTCTGCCGAGACGGAACTGGAGCCACTTGCGGTCCGGGATTTTGGCTAAGAGCTCAGCCGGGCTCTGCCAGCTCGAGGATCTCAGGAAAAACATGTTGACACAGTGCGGAGAGAAGAGAAGCCACACAGGCTGGAGAGTGTGGGTGTGTGAGTGGATGGGTTTGGCTTTCACAGCTAAGTGGAGTGCTGTTACCACTGAAAAGAGCTGGGCAGGGCAAAGGGAGGATAGCGTAATGGTAGTACTCTCTGATATCCTCTGTGTGAGTGACCGTATGACAGAACTTTTCATGTAATGTTGATTCGTGTGTTGATCTATATGTGCATATATATATATAGGCTACGCTACCTAAAGGTTTTTTACACATCTATGCAGCCAGTATAGGTTTTGCTAAATACTGCAGCACTAACTTTAACCAAGATACAGTAAATTCAATTTTTGGTATGATAGACCACTGAAGTCATGCATGATTCTGTAGTCTGTGTTGTGTCTTTATTAAGAAGTCAGAATTTCTTAATGAAATAAAGAAACCAAACATTTTCAAAAATCACTGGTAAACAAAAATACTGTCCTGTGTACAATTTTCCTTCCGAGTGTCACTGGATCCTCTGAATTATAGGTCCTTTAGCAGCCAAAATACAAACCTTGCTACATCCATGCTACAAGCAGGCTAACACTCCTGTGCAACGAATTGAAGTTGCATAAAAGAAAGTCTAAACTTCTACACTTTCATATAACACCAGCTACTTCTAATGAACTACTGCCAAAGCAAATTAACTACCACACTGGACAAAGCTTGCTTGTTTGTGTGGGCTATTTTGGCACGGTTGCCAGTCTCGTGATGTCAATACATCGTGTAGTAGTGTTAGCTTGCATGTAGAAATCATATTTTGAACCAGCGACATTCTCAGGAAAATGTACACCAGGACAAACGGGATCAGTTTTGGAGCATTTCTGATTAGCACAGGGTGTGAAAGTAAGCGTTCATTTTTTCCACAAAGAAAAAAAAACTCAGACCCGGAGTTCTTTATATGGGTTTAACACCGACTACAGAACAACTGCACAACTTCAGAGGTCTGAAATAGCTGAGATACAGAGTCACTGCTAAGCTTTCACAATACTCCTGTGTGCAAATGCTTCGTAACATAGAATAGTCCAGTAATTTTAACACATGCTCACTTAACTTATGTAAAAGATTGATTCTTTTCTGGATGCTATGGAATAAAATGATCAAGGCTACCCTGTCAGTAACGATTCAACTTAGAAATTAACATCGTTTTACTGCAATTACAGAAAAAGATTTTGGCATGCGAACGTCATCGTGCTAATTGGCAGGCAGATCATTGGTCGCTAAGATCAGCAAGCAACTCCAGTGTAATACTAAAACAGTATGAACTGTAAAGCTGTCTTATTCTGGTTCATTGAGAAAGGTATAAAATGATGTGAATCTTGTCTGACTGTTCCTTTAGAGACTGAGTGTGTGTGTGTGTGTGTGTGTGTGAGTGTGAGTGAGTGTGTGTGTGTGTGTGTGTGTGTGTGTGTGTGTGTGTGTGTGTGTGTGTGTTCTACAGCATCAGGCTGTGCAATATTAATGTGCTACTGATGGTGGGTGGGAGTGAAGGAGCGTCTCCAGCAGTGGGGAGGACCCTGAATTATTCATCTGCTCCAGAGCCAACGACTCTAGGTATGGAGACACTGGGTGTGGGGTGGACAGAGAGACATAGCAGAGGAGAGAGAGAGAGAGGGAGAGGGAGAGAGAGAGGGAGAGAGTAGGTTTGGGCATCTACACAAAGCTTCCTCATCTTACTCGAAGGCCTGGGCAGCAGATGAAACAAGGCAGTGATGTTTCAATTATTAAATGGTTGGTTTGATTTCAGGTTTGTGTACGAGTGTGCACACATTTCAGTGGCCAATTCATTAGAAGCCCCTATCTTGTAGCTCCACCCGTTGATGCTCATGCACACATTGTGTTCGCTTGCGTTGGTTATCTTCTAGCTCTCCATCACTGGTCAGTTTCTGACCAAAGAGCCACTGTTGGCTGAATATTTCTGGGTAATGGTCCACTCTCAACCTAGCCGTGACACAAAAGTGCAGCAACTAAACTGTGTCTGGCATACAACTGCGACCCAACTCCAACAGGACCTGAAAAAACATCAGGTTTCGGGCCGGGTTCGGGTCGATTTTATACATACAACAACAACGGCCTCGGATCTGGCTTGGCTTTGTTTTCTAATGAGTTTTTTTTAACGTAGTAGGTTAGTTTTCATTGGAAAGAATATGCCTGTGTAAATTTTGTGCACTCTCACATGTTTTCTGTGAAAACATGAGTGATGAGAAGGATGTGCTAGGTTGGTAGGGGTCTTTCCCCTAGCTTGTCAATCATTAATCAAGTTTAATATACCGACAATAAAGCCTGATAGTATATTACATATGTGTAAAATACCAGTTTATTCCAGCATGACATTTTCTACTGATCAACTCAAGCGACTAGTAACAAAGCAAAGCACTCTAAAACCATATCTGCCATAATTCATCCATTAGCGCATGCGAGTGGGCTCGAGTTGGGTTCGGGTCGGGTTCAGGTTACAAATTAGGCGTCGGAGTTGGGTCGGGTCTCAAAGTCATCCACACGAGTCGTGTTGGGGCTTGAATTTCAAGGCCATGCAGACCTCTAACATGTGCCAGCACCAAACACACCACCATGTCAGTGCCAGTGCTGTGCTGAGAACGATCCACCACCCAAATAACAGCTGACCAACAGCCGTCCTGTGGTCAGAAACTGATCAATGATGAATGATGCAGATAGCAGCTACAGTCAGTAACTGTAAGCCTATAACATAGTGTTTCTGATCAAATCGTCAATAGTGCAGATGCACTGTTGGTGTTTCTAATGATCTGACAACACAGTGTGCGCATGTGTGTGCATTTTAGGGAAAGGGGGAGGTTCTACACCCGCAGGATTCCAACATCAGCCATAACTAACCATCTAAAGCGCTGCTTCATTCTCTGAATGTGCCTCAGGTCTGTTTCCTGAGCGCCGTCGTTAATCTTAGGGCTCGGCTACTCGCTAATGTGAATGCTACTCCGAAAGGGACAGTTCATTAGAGAGAGAGAGAGAGTGTGTGAGTGTGTCTTACCTGGCCATGGGGTCCCATCATGGGGTTGCTGGGGTTGTGTGGGGGAGGCTGTGCGTGGGGAGACGGCTGCGAGCCGGGAGGGCCCTTTAAGAGAGAAGAGGGAGATGAGACACGAAACGAGGGCGCTGCTGCTGGGGCCTGCTGCTGCTCCAACGACACTCACGCACACACACGCTGCTCTGGAGAAACACCACTACAGGGGTCCGGCCTGCTGTGTGCAACCTACGTCATTTATGTTCTTCTGTTATAAAGGAACATGCTGCTGTTGAAGATGTGAGCGTTTCCCAAAAGCTCCTATGACAGACTGAATCAAGCACGACCATCTCTCTAGAAATCGCACAAAAATTGTGAACTGACTTAACTGCCTTATCCATGCTCCACCCAAAAGGTGTTCTTTTAGAGCAACTGCAAGCTGGTAAGAATGACATTCAACCTAATAAGAACTATGTTTTAGGCAATATATGGAAGTTTTGAGTGCGTCACTAATTTCCATGGAGATATATATATGGATTTATTTATTTATATATGAAATATATAAATAAATTTATCATTTGATAAAGGCATTTAACAACTTTCCCTGTTGAGCCAGGTTTAGATACTCAAGCTATGAATGAAAAAGAAGTACATGTTAATAAAGCAAAGGATTTATGACACTAAAAAGTAGAGCTACTAGAGCTTATCAGAGTAATTACTGAATTATATTGCTGATATCCACATAGTATGACTCGCTTCCGCGGCTAAAAAGCAACACTCTTCACGAGATTGATGCCACAAATATCACAAAATGAAGAAGAGTTCACCAGAGGGGTTCACCTTCATGCCAGTCCCTGATTGGTCAGAAGCTCGTCCTGATTGGTCCAAGAGCCATTTATGATTCTGCCTTATGAAACAGGCCTCTATATTTTATGTTTAGCCAGCTAACTTTAAGCTTAGTTTAATCTAACCCTACAATCTAACCCTACACAGGTGTGGGTACTGCACATTATTAATCAACTCTGAGATCAATCAGGGTGAGCTTCGGACCATTCAGCGACAACCCTTCTGACAGAGGTGGACTCCTCCAGTCCTTTTTGGGTCACAGTTTGTTCTTTGTGAAATCTGTGGCTTTGTTCAAATGAGAAATATCACTTTTCAGTTAAGAAAACAAATCACACCACTTAGATACTGAGAATATAAAGCAATTGTTACTCCAATAAGCACAAAAACAGTGGCAACTGCTGCTTTTTAACACTGTAAATCCTTTACTTTGTACATATTTATGTAGTATGATTACTTTCTTAGAAAAATAATCTGCTCATCTCCTCCTCACGTTTTGCACGATTGACAATTTCCCAAAAAACATCACAGTTTCATGTGCGTGCGGACGAGGATTAATTGTAGTCTAAGCCTCTAAACCTGGGTTTAGAGAAAAAGTTGTAAAAAGAGCATTTTTTAGATTGAGTGAAGCTGAAACTTAGTCAGGAACCCTAAGTTGAACGTGCTTCTTAAGACAGACCACAGGTGTAGTTTTCTGTCATGCAATCGAGCTAATATTAGCATGGCGACAAATGTGTTAGCGTTTTCATCCTGACTAGTTTAGAAATAGTGGTAATGACCAAGTCCAGCTCAGCAGCACCTCAAACTGGAACCTCAATGTAATGCAGAGGCTGTAAACCTCACAATAGTTGTTCAAAAGTACACATTTGTGGGCAGGGCATGGATAGGTTGATGGATCTGTGTTCTGCATAGACAGTAGAATACACAATGTATAGGACGTAACAATAAATACAGAACGTATAGAATGTTATACAGTAGTAATACAGCACATCAAACTACACTCAAATATTTTGAACTATGTACATCAGGCCAAATAGCGTATTTGCTTGCTGTGACTGCTACACAATAAGCAATCCTTGTGGCTCAAATTAAGTTTCACTTGTAGGCCAATTCATCAGATATGTAGGGGCCTCTGAACCGAGCACCTCTATGAGAACTTAAATATATTACTATATGCTGACAACATATATAATGCAACATATATTTTTGTTTGGGTGCTATAGGTTGACTATTACAATTATTTGGATTGTTCATAAATGCGCAAACACCGAAACGAAGAGCTTCGGCTCTAGCAATGCGATGCCCTTCACTCTCTCTCATATCTGAATGAGAAGCATATGGCCTTTACAAGGCCTCAGATGCCAGAGGGAAAGAATATCAGTCTCAGCCAATGGCCTGGGCTCCGGAGTCTCGCATGCACACAGCAAATCGCCAGCGTCCCTTACCAGATAACAGCCGGCGAGGCTATCAAACACAAGGCCCTCCAGTCGCCGTTCCTACAGTCCAGCAGGGACAGTTAGTTCAGCGCCATCCACTTGTACACACTTAATTCATAAAGGGGCCATCTCTGCCAATGCACACAAGTGAGGTCAAAATACATGTATGAGGTGTAATTGCTTGGGCCTACCACTTGGTGGCACTATTGACAAAGCATTACAGGCAGAAGAAACGCTGGCGTATACCACAGTTCCGGTATTCTTCGGTTTGCATGCAACGGCTGATAAAACCGAAGAGGACTGACCACTGCTCTTAACTAAACTCTGAGAAATTCACACATCTGAACAGCAAGACAATGACCACTGAATGACCATTCCACATTTCAGCCAGGTGTTCGTTAACCACTCAAACTGCAGGCGTACTATTCTGTTAGCAGTGCTGCTATTTATTGCTCAGTTTCTATTCAGTCACTGCTACGAAACTAAGACGTCATTTATGTAGTTGAGACAGTAAAAACTGAAGTGTGCACCTATCAACACATCCCTTGCGGTTTAAGCACATGCAGTACATACAGTACACGCACCTACACAACCTACTCCCCCCCCTGCCCGTTTTCTCCCCCTACACCCCCCCCCCACCTCTCTTTCAGCTGTAAAGAGCCTGTACCACGTTCATTTGCATATGACAAACGTACAGGTCCCCTGTCTACGTCCACTAGTCAGACTATGACTCAGCTATGTTAACAGAACTGTTTGTCTTAAGCTCAAGAGACTTTCTCTGCTATGAAGACGATTCTGAAAGTTTGAGGGAAATTCCAGTGCTTTCCAAAATCTCAGCATAATTCAATGGAAATTTAAGTGGCTGATGCGACTCAGACTCTTGATTTCTTTACAGTAGTGGTGAAATCAAGACTGCAACACAAATGCAGTCATTTTATTTACAATCCAAATGATCAATGAAGCTCTTTTCTGAGTTTTTATATATAATGATTACAGTAAAATCTGAAATAAAAGGTTTTCTTTGGGCACTATATATTGCATGTATCTTATAAAATCATTTTAGGCCAAAGTCTTATCTCAAAACTACCGTAAAACAATGTCTCAGCCACCGGGCAGTGTATTCATGACCATTTCATGTAATAACTTTCTGTCAGGGAGCTTTTAGAGGCATTGAACTCTTCAGGCGTCTGGTTCCCATCACCACCACTGAGAGCATTTCTGAATGGGCAAGTTTCTCTTGAATGGAGAATCAGAATTAACAGCAGGTGCAGAGCTGGAATGGGCATTTAAACCAATTTAATGTTTACTGAGTGCAGCTAGCATAGCAGGTAATAGATCTGATTCATCTTTGTGCTTTAGGTATGCGATTTACCAGCCAACCTTTCACACTATTTTTTTTTGGTTTGAAGTATTTCCATTTACAGCTCTGCCTAAGATGTGATTTCGCTTAATGTAAGACGCAAAAATCTGGTTCTTGTGTCCCCACATTCTCTGCAATCACTCAGTCAAAAATACACAATTTATTCCAAATATTTTTATTAAAAACTAATCAACTGAACAAAATTTGAATGAAGAAAAACTATCATCATGTTTTTTCCCCACAATGACACTAGAACTGGGAGGCAGGAGGAGTGCTGGTGCTGACTGGTGATGTTTGCAAACTTATGGTGTTCAAACAACACAGTTGCATTTGATGGCACAATTTATCAAATGTCAATTCTCAAATTTTTACAATGCACAGTCATATTTTTGCAATTGTTTACCATGTCAGGATGCACTGCTCCACCCCTACAAACGACACAAACACAGAGCTCTAGCCCAGAAAAGACAGCTGAATGAAGGCTGAAATACGATCACGAGTTTGATTAACAGGAGCGTCTGAATTATCTGGACTGTGTACAGAGCAGGGCCCCAACAATACATCCACTGGCTGACAGCACTGACCAATATTAGCGACCTGTAGTATTATTACTATCAATGATAATAGACAGTTATGCCACTGGGCAGCTCAATATGAGACTCTTCATTTAACTATATGATAATACAGTTTGAACCTCAACACAAATCTCCATCAGGGTAAGTGTTACAAAACCACAGAGTTGTATGCAAAAGCTTTGGTGCTCTTGGTCAAATTACATGTTTTGTTGATTTAAAAAGTGAAAATAAGTTAACACACCCTCTTCAGGCAAAGGTTTAATGCACATTTACTGTTTATGTGCTGAACTGAACATATTAGGGGAAAAAAACAAAAATAATATATTTAATAATGTATTTTTCCAATAAGTTACCAGCAAACAAATAAAAATTGTGCATAAAACTTTGCAGAAAAGTGCTCTTCAAACTTTTGCATATGACTGCATAGAACTAAACTGTGTCCAAACCTAACATTTAGCATGATAATTAACGTTATAACATTTTTCTTTTAATAAAGAAAACTAATAATAATAAAAAGAGCAATAGAGAGATGATGTACAGAAACCAAAAGCACAAAGCATTCTAGATAACTCCACCACCCAAGGGACACAACATATAATTTAAGACTGCGAGTCTCTTGTCTGTTGTTCACTTGAGTTTAACAAGTGTAATAACTGAGAATCGACAGTCAAATCGGTCATTAAAGCACTGTTTAACTACAACTACTGGGATACATAACGTAAAAAATATAAAATTACACTGACTGATATCAGTTATTGGAATTTTTAGCCCTCTAAAATTAGTGTCAGCCTACCTGACAGGCCCTAATCCCGAGAGTGTGTGGGTGTGTGCTGTAGAGAGTGTGTTTTGAGTGTGTTTCAGAGCCGGATGGGGAGTGTGTTCGGTTCAGATTTAGCT